GACAAACGTAGTAACTCAAACCACATTCCCTGTGGCATCCCATTATGAGAACATGATTACACTGTGTTTACTTGTAGCTGTTGAAGAGAAGATATTTACGGATTAAAATAAATACATGGTGTGAAATGAAGTATGTTATAAAACCTTAACCTGGCCCTGTATGCTTTCACCAGGTGGAGAAAATAACCATTGAAGTTGACTTTAAATAGCTGCAGCTAATGAGGTGTTAACATCTGAACAGTGCACTTCAGGTGAATATACTAAAGTCTGTATACTTCAGTGCCAGGAGGCTGCCTTTGGTTTGTAATGATGAAGCCTTGCTGCACTGCCTGCTGCCTTTGACATTATGTTTTTGTGGAGTCACAGTAGTGATTTGTGGAGATTATTACTGACAGGAAAACATCGAACCCCAAAATTAGATCACATTAGTTCTTACGCGTTGATTGTAATGTATCAGTCGACAAAGACAAGTGATTATTGGTTTTGTCGTCGCTGTAAGACATTTCATAATGCAGGTGCAGCGTTGCGGTCCAGACTGAAATATCTTAACTACTGTTGGAGGATTGCCATGAAACTTTGGTCAGACATTTTATGGCCTGCGGGGGATGAATGCTACTGACTCAGGTCATCCCCAGACCTTTCATCTAGCGCCACTAATTGGAATATATACCAATTATTTGGTATTGATATCCTCGGTGTTTGGTCAATGTTTGTGGTTTTGAGTGAAATATCTCAGCAAATATGAGATGGATTGCCATGAAGTTTGCTACCGCTGTTCATGCCCCGCCCTCAGGATAAACTGTAATAACTTTCTTGACCCCTTTACTTATTAGGTGACAATAATTTATTATGTGAAAACTTTGCAACACAAAACTTACCTTACTTCTTATGCATTGACTGTAATGTACCAGTAGATGAAGACAAGGTAAGTATAGGTTTTGTAGCTGCTGTGTTTTGAAGTGTTGACATTTCATTATATCAGGGAGTTTTTTTTTTTTCTCTATGCGGTTTCACCATTTTTTCTCTGGGAATAGGGAACAAAGTTTTGTTCTGTAATGAGTCCTTCCAAGTGGGAAGGACTTGGCTTGGAGAAAGGAAGACACGAAGCTGTCCCCTATGATTAATTCAAATGAGATGAAGCATGAACCCCATAGGAGTGTTGCTTAGATAATTACAGCAAAGGAGACGGGAGCAAATGTTGTCCTGCTGACGAAACCAAAGTCACAAGAACAATTAATGAAGGCAAAGAAAGCTCAATGATCAACCGCGGTGCTGGCTTTAGCTCAGAGGGACAGCGGTGGTTTAACCGTTTGCTTGGTGGCTGCCTCTAAAGTTTGTTGTGGTAAAACAAATAAATAAATAAATGTGGGCCATTATTTATGGACGTCATGCGATTATAGAATTCTGTTTCTGCTCAGCAGCTCTGCAAACCCCAGGGGAGCGTTGTCAGTTCTCGTACTTGTGCTCTGTCGTCTCTTTTATCGGTTGCAAACCCCCCTCGCTGAGTGTTTCTTAATGTAAATGCATATTTCAGTCCCTTTTTTTTTTTTTTTTTTAGTTTTGTCTCCTTAATCTTTATTAATGTCTCACTCTTCCTCTTAACATTCAGGCCAGTAGCACACTGCATAAGCACACACTGAGTAGCACGGGGACTTCCTGAGTATCTGGAGTGGAAAAGGTTTTCTATGCTCAGTTTATTTCACCTGCTTGAGGTTTCAAGCTAAATGCTACTGAGCACCAGACATGCATAGCAAACAGAGTGTGCAAGCTGCAGAGTGTAGCACAGTCTTGAATCATATGTATACGAGCACCTCTGTAGAGCGACAAGTAATGATTGCTGTATTTAATGATTTCTATATTGATTTTTTTATAAAGTTAGAAATTAATGAAAATGCACGTTTCCTAGAGCCCAAGGTTGTGTGTGGTCAGCAGTTCAAACCCTGAAGGTATATAATCTACAACTGTATTAACCACAGAAAATCAATAAATCTCCACATTTGAGAAGTTGGACCAAGGCAGTGTTTGGCATTGTTGTTGCTAAATGACTTACATGATTTACAAATTATCAAAACTTTTAATTAATTTTGACAAGTAAGCGTTTTCTTGTACTTGTGGTTGTAGAAAGAAACACACTGTATAAATCCAACAGATTACACAACAAAATACATCTGTACTTCTGTATCTGCGAATTAATAGTAATGGTCCGGTTTGGTTCAGTTAAGGCACAAACACGACTTGGTTAAAGGAGCTATTTGTAAGTTTTGCTATTGCAACATAGCTAACGTTAGCATTAGCAGCTGTTTACTTACCAGTCTAGAAGAAACGTTGTGAGTTCAGCATTAAAAATGTCATTCCTTTTACTCACCAACAGCTGTCTCCAGTGGTGGAAAGCAACAGCAATGTTAAGTCTAGTCTCTATCACGTCTTCTCTTCTGCTGAAGTTAGCACGCTAACCAGCTAGCCCTCGTCACTGTAGCCTCCAATCCGCCCTGAAGACACGGCACTGCTCAGAGGACGTATTATAACCTCTTGTCTTGTAAACGCAACAATGGTTGAAGCTCAAGTAGCTCTTACAAATAGCCTTTTTAAGGTTGGGAAGCAATTTAATTTAATTTTAATTTAATTTAATTGTTATAACAGTTAAAAAAAAAAAAAAACAATGTTGACTGTCAGTAGGAAACAGGAAACTCCAGTTGCAGACTTTTATCACATGTTACACAAACCTTAAACAAACTGGTGTTTCAGCTGGATTTATAGTTGTGCACAGAGATACCACGTGCTGACCTTAAGATCTTGAACCTGTTCACCACGGCTGCTTGAGTTTCTAACGCCGGTGGAGACTGTCGATAGTGACAACGGCGTTACTCAGTAGTGTTTTCCTTTTCAGTAACACACACTCAACAAAGCCATTCTTCTGCTCACTGCACTTGATCACAGTAAATAACAAAGGTAAACACAGAGCTTGAATGGCATTAGTCTCCTCTTCAGGTTTAAGACAAGGCGAAATAGGAATTAGTTGTAGCAAATGCGTCACTGTATTTTGCAAAGTAAATGAAAGAATGTAAACACAGTCTAGTGTGTTGAATATAATTAAAGCACAAGAAACACACACACACACACCGTACATCTGTCTGTTGCTGTCAGAGGGTGAAATCCAACGCTGAACCAAATCTGCACTGTAGATATTTAATGGCAGGACTCCAGTTAACCATTTGTGTGAAGTATAAATCCATGGTACACTAATCATGATTTCTGCATCTGACTCCTTGAACTTAGTGACCATTTATAATCATGTTAGTTTAACATGGCGCACCAGGACAGAGGTTGCCTGATCCCGTCATGTGTCTTCAATTACTTCAACACAGTCGTGGAAACGGGGCTTGATTTGCTTAATTATATATTGATGTGTTTAATTCTTTCTCAGTAAGTGTCTATGAGGCTCCCTGGAGCCGGAGTGCAAACTGTGCCGAGAGCAGCGTGCTCTGTTTACGTCTGACTGCCTGTGAACTCTGTCAGGGGTCTTTAGTCTGACAGATGGAGAACCCTGGGCTTAGACTCACCGTGTCATTCTGTCTAAGGAATGAGGTTTCAAGACGGGCCAACTTGACTCACACTGGGTATTTTTGGAACAAACAATCAAACAAGATCAGGGAGAGAATCTGTGTGTGTGTGTGTGTGTGTGCGTGTGTGTGTGTGTGTGTGTGTGTGTGTGTGTGTGTGTGTGTGTGTGTGTGTCGCGCTGCAGCTCACAGCTTCATATTTTCACTAACACACACACACACACACACAGGCGGTGGTATAGTCTGTTTCCCATGCGTCAGACTCTGTGTCCACGTCCGTCTACAAACCCCCAGCGTTCCAGTAAACCAAGTAAATAATTAGATCAATAAGGGGTATTAATTTTTTCAGAGGAATCCACCCTGCAGGCTCACACTGCAGTATTTTCCCCTCTCAGAGCAACATCGTTATTCTTAAACACATCACTAATGACCCGATCGATAAGCTGCCGTGAAGCTGCCAAAATCCTAAATCAGAGAATTATGACTTTCCCAACGTCAGCGCTGAATATCTGCCTGTGTTGTAGAGACGTATTGAATTTTAGAAGTTGAAATTCAAACCTCCTCCGGAGTGCAAAAACTATTAGAATTGTAAAAATTGCTTCAGACTTTCATTTTTCTGCTGTTCTTGCTGTGACAAGATGCAGCTTTGAATAGTTTCATAGTAAGAGCAGTGAACCACATTTATCAAGGAAGAAGCAGAAAATGTTGCTGAGAAAAAAAGGTTGACTTTATCTCTGTGGCTTGTGTAGTTTTCACAGAAAACTGTACAGTTTGTGTGTGTGTGTGTGCGTGTGTGTGTGTGTGTGTGTTATTGTAGCTGTTAGTACTACATTTCTAAACCTGACCGTTCCAGAGGCAAAAACCAAGTCTTTGTAAAAAGATTTTTATCCCTACAAATTGATTAGAGGACAATTCTCCTACAGTAACAGTTATCATGGCAGGAAGCTCACAAGGTTTAAAATGCTTTCCACATTCATTTGACATTTAACACACACACACACTGACACAGATATTGTAGTTTCACTTTGACTTAGTAGTTGGTCGCGTAAGAAAATGGAAGAGACAAAAACGAGAGAAAAATAAGAGCTAAAGATAAAAGTGACGACAGAATAAGCTCACACTTCTATATGATTTAATTTCAAGGCAGCAATTTCCCACTCAGCAAGGAGTGTGTGGGCATATGTGTATGACTAAATGTACGATGAATCAGAGGGTGTGTGAATGAAGGAGTGCGTCTCTACATCATCATAAAAGTGCTGTGAGTACTCATGTGTCAAATGAATGGTGTAGGAAATGGATCTGAGCTTTGAGAGTAATGCGTAGGACTTTGTTATTAAGACTAGCATTTCATGTGTAATGAATTTCTCCTTGTGTCACTCTGTATGAGTAGCATATCATGTGCTGTTCTCATATGTAAAAAAATAAATAAATATCTTCCAGGTGATTTGGTGTCCAGGGCCATGCACCACCTGCAGCCGCTGCACATCAAAAACCCTAGCAACGGGACTCCGGTCCACCAGAAGACCAACGCCACCACCACCACCACCACCACCACGGTGCACTGGGAGCCCGAGGCCCTCTACACCCTGTGTTACTTCATGCACTGCCCACAGATGGAATGGGAGAACCCAAACGTTGAGCCGTCCAAAGTCACCTTACAGACTGAGAGGTGAGTCCGACAGTAACCCAGGAAGTGATGACGCTTGTTTTTACATCTGATTATTTTGTTTCCTTCAGTCATACTTAAGAGTTTTTCTCCTAGAGACAATCTGTCACCAATAAGAGCGAAAACTATGGTGTCCCTGATGGTTCAACACAGTGTAAAAGCCACAACACAAATACAAAAGCAACTACACAAAGGCAAAAGTCACAACACAAATATAAAAACCACAACATACAACGTACAAAAGCAGCAACACCAGTGCAAAAGCCACTTTTGCACAGGTGTTGCTGCTTTTGCATTTGTATTGTGGCTTTTGCATTTGTATTGTTGCTTTTGCATTTATGTTTTGCTTTTGCATTTGTGCTGTGACTTTTATAAAAGTGTTGTTGCTTTTACATTTGTATTGTGGCTTTTGCATTTGTGTTGCTGCTTTTGTATTTGTGCTGTGGCCGTTGCACTGTGTTGACCTGCCTGGTAAAAAGCTGAGAGAAAGTAGTTTAGTGAAGGACATTAGTTGAATCTGGAGCCCAGCGATGAAGCCGGTGAGGGATTGTACCCGTTTGCATCACTTCTTCTCACAGAGCTGCTCAGAAATAATCTTGATGGTCAAGTTCAAACTCAGAAGGTGGAAAGAAAATTCAGTAGTGGGACATGACTGTGAATGGAGGCTCCTGCGTGAGATGGTCTGGCCTTGAGGAGACCAACACTATTAATGCATTCAGCAAATTAATCTGACAAGTCAATAAATGTCAGATTTATCTCCAGAAATTTACCTTCCAACAGCTGATGAGGTGCAGATACAAGTGGTGTGTATAAGTTCCACAGAGCTCACGAGAAGAATCTGGGCCTTTTATTTCTGGTTTTCATTATTTCCATTTATTTAGCAGGGAGTGGTACAATAATCTGAACAATATGACAAAGTAACATGATATTACATGAATTATATATGGTTGTAAATAATAAAAATCAGTCAAAAGAAAACTGCATTTTTTGAAGGTTTTGAACTGGAACAGGCTCTGGTGTCCGCTCATAATGTATTCATCTTGAAATTCAGACTTTGGAGGGCGTCCCTGAACTAGTACAAAGGAAATGAGCCAAAAAAAAAAAAAAAAAAACTTCTTGACAAGAGCTCCTTCTTCACCATTCACTTTAGTCAATTAGCGAGTTTGCACTCAATGATATGCGGCCCTCTGCCTCCACTTATCAAGCTATAAATCAAGAAGTAAGATGATTTCTGTGTCTGACAAATGTTTGTGTAAGTTAAAATCCAATCTCCCAAAATGTCCATCGCCCACATTTCTGGCACTCCTCACACACCGTAAAAGCGCTACGTCGAGCCGGCACGACTTCCAAACGCTCTCCATCTTGATATGCAGACACATACATCCTCTCAGACTGCAGCTGTCAGTTCGTGGGCACGCTACAGCGAGAATATTTTGTAAGTGTTGTTAAAGGTTTGTACAGACATTCCTACTTTTCTTGCACGAGTTTTTCGCCCCACAAGCGATCCGGTAAGATGCTGCGTGGGCTGGTCATCGCTGACACCTCCCCAGGCGTTTAGCAGATTGATGGGAACCAGAGGGACTTCACTCGGATGGACGGATGGACAGATATTCCAACATCTTTCCTCCGCTCTTAAAAGATAAAACTCCATCTTGACCACCCTGGGGAGCAAGAGGAATGTCAGGCGGAGTGACATGTCAGCAGGCTCTCGGGCCCCCGCAGAGAAAATTCTCTATTTAGTATTCTGCTGAAAGGTTGAAGACGAGTGGAAAAGGGCCTGAATAACACAGTGGGATAAGAGGGAGACAGACTATGAGTAAATGAGGTAAAGTAATCTTTTGGGGTTGTTTTGCGAAGCTTCAGATAAGCCTCTGTTAGGTGAAAACTTATTGAAGGGAAGTAAATTGCCGAAATGACTTTTACATCTGAGTTTTGAATGTCAACATGAAGTTAAATTACCCAGAGAAGAAGAAAACCAGTTAATCACTGAAGTCTGTAAGAAATATGAAGACTACTATATTCAGCATTCGGTCCCAGACGTTGACTCGAAAGGAGGAATTGTTACGCCGGCAGGTCTCTGGGTGTTGGTTGTCGCTGCGGGCCTGCCGTCTGCATCGATGGACAACATCACCCTCAGTGTTTTCATTCAGGAACGTGGGGCGCCATCTTTTTCAAACCTCCACTGTAAATATGCCTTTCAGGAAGCAGACAGTTAAAGCACAAGCTCTGGGAAAAGGGAGGACAGTCCAGGAGTTCAAATTCCCTGGCAGACTGTAGGTGTAAAGACAAAGATAGCTCTGCTCGTGGCATGAGCAACTGATGCACACAAAATGTAGACTTGTCAAACACAGAGCGTCGATATCTAAAAGCTGCTGCTCTGATTAAACATGCGCTCGCAGCAAATTTACAGAAGGACCAGGCAGCTGCATACACAGTAAACATAACGGTCCCTAATGGTCTCTCTCAGTTGGGTTCTGCCACCACCACCACCCCCCACCCCCGTCTCTGCCCCTCCAGAGTCTGGTGCATCCTGAGGTTTTTCTTTGCCACTGTCACCAAGTGTAATATCGTAAAGAATACAGTCTAGACCTGCTCTATATGAAAAATGCCCTGAGATAACCTCTCTTATGATTTGACTTTTGACTTGACTTCTGTTTGAAATAATTTTTTGAGAAATTATCTTTGCCGGCGGGTCGTGAGGGAGAGGAAGCTCTGCAGGGGATCGTTACTGATGGATTTGTAATATAATTATCCGACTATAACGTGAAATTAGCCCATTTAATTTAATGTTTTAAAGTTTTCTAATGTGCATCCGAGGCTACTTCATGGTTTCAAAGGAAAATAGCTTTATTATCATCTCAATTGGGATCGCCTGAGTCAGAATAACCCGTAACTCTACCATTATGTTTCTTGAAGAATAAGTACAAATGTTGTATGTGAATCACTGAGTTCATAAAAAGGCTGTATTCACTAACTGCAAATGAGGGGGAAAAAAATAAGTTTCATATCTGCCTAATGAGAACCTCCTGAAAAGAGTTTTTGAAGCGAGTCCTTTCTGCCAACGACCTGCTTTAAGGGACCGACGCTGCAAAAAGCTCATGTTGGACGTGTCCCAAGGTTGTTCTGTTTGTCATTAGTTCACTAATGTGGAGTAGAGAAAGAGCCGTGTCTATGAGCCTGAGAGGATAATTATTATGAACGAGCAGGATTTACTGAGGGCACACTGCCAGCGGACGGACTCATGAAAATCATTCACATCTACGAACTTTATCCCGTCCAGGAGAACAATGTGTGTCGTGCCTGTTTCTGTGCGTCCGGAAACGTTTCACAGTGAAGAATCCAGAACTTAATGAAGCAGTTAATCGATAGAGGAAATAAATCGATTATCGATGATTGTTTTCATTTGTAAACATAAAGAAGTAGGTGACTCATGCTGCGTTCACGTCGAATGTAAATTACTGTAAAACATAGTGACGTGAAAAATGTCTTTGCTCAGTCTCATTTTCATGCAATATTAAAGTTTTCATTAGGTTTTTATTTATATATGTGGCGAGTTGTGGACATAACACACACAACAAGATGACATCACAAAAATCAAATTAAAGAATAAACAATACCACAATAAATAAAATTTTGTGGGATCCTTTTAGTATTTCCAATAAGTAGATTGACAGTAGCAGAGAGTAAATGACAGTTGGCGCATATTTAAAATGTTTTATCTTCCCATCCTTCGTTAGTGCAAATTTTTTTTTCCATTTCTTATTGTGTTGTGTTACTTTATGGTTTGTCGTAATTATTTCTTCTAAAAGAAATTGGCTTTGTGATTTTGTTTTATTAAAACTCAAAGCTCAAAGTAGTTCTCAAGCTTTAAATAGAAACATTTTACCAAACAGAATTATTGGATTTGTTATATGAGGACAGTTTTATACTTGAGACAGCTGAATATAATAAGAGCATTATTGCCAGTTTTTCTGTCTGGGTTTTTTCTTTCCTCAAGATTCAGTGAGTGTCCACATTGTGGTATGAAGTTACTGTGACTGAGTGAAAATCCGAGAGCACCGACAACTTGCTCAGCACTTCACTCCGAGAGGTTTCTCATAAACGTTGTTCCAAGATAAAATAGTCACCTTGCACTTATGATAAATACCTGACTAATATTTTTTTCCCCAGGGTTTTGGCAGTTAGAGCTCAGTCCGCCCCAGTGGAGCTCGGGGAGCTGATTGCCGGGCGATGTGAGACTTTGTAATCTCATCCTCTGAGGATTGAATAAGCCACTGCACAGCGGGACTGAGGCGTCGCATCATAATGCGGTTTCAGAGTGGTGTAGCGACAGTTCGTTGATGTGCCGCAGCTTCTTGGAGTATTTCATTTAACTGCAGTGTTTCCACAAAATCAAAGTTGTCAAAAACAGCTGCTGATCAGACCTTATCTATACTAAATGATCATTCACTAAACCCCTCCCACAAACAGCAATTACCCAATCATAGCTTGTCAGCTCCGAGGCCCAGCTGGTCTTTGGATTTCTCAACATCCACAGTATTTCTCCACTGTATGGAAACCAGTCCTGGATGCTATTAGAGTTCAGGCTAATGTTAGCAGCTCTGCACAGAGTCTATTCTCCAGCAGCCTGTCACAGTTACAGGAGGTAGCTTTATGTTTACCAAACACGTGACTTAGTCTTGATCCTGAAGTGCTCCTCCTTCACTTCTACATCGTCTACAATGGACGAGGATGTTGACTTTCTGCCCGGGACACGAAGCCTCGGCCTCAGCCGTAAGAAAAACCAAGAGAGAAACATCCAGGAGTCAAGGACGCGGCGTTTTCAACCAGTTTTTCAAGCTATAGCTGCAGCTGCCAAAGACAACACTCGCTGTAGCTGTCAAACTCAGCGGCCACAGAGTAGGAAAGAAAAGGCTGTTTTTGTCCTCCTTTATCTGAAATCAAGAACGCATTCTTTCAACGATTACTGGATTTCAAGTGGTAATCTGCCACTGCCATCGTTGTAAACTGCATCATGTGCTGTGTGAGAACAGAGAGCTGCCTCATTTAACGCTCAGTTAAGTGTAAAAGGATGGGGGCGCCTCAGTACCTTACCTGGTTAGCTGCACACCATTAAGGCTGGGTTTGAATCCAGCTCTCTCTCTCTCACTGTCACTATCATAATAAAGGCGAAATGCCTGAAAAATAACTTTAAAAAAGATACATATACGTAGATGGAAGGACATTAAAGGAATCGTTGGACATTTTGGGAAACACTTTTATTCACTTTCTCGCCGAGAGTTCGATGAGAAGATTGATTTAATCCCACTCTTGTGACTGTGCATGAAGTACAGAGCTGCAGCCAGGCAATAATTAGCTTGCAAGTTATAATAAAATATATATATATAGCTGTTAATTAAGTCTCAAGTCTGTTTTATTTTATATAATAATATAAAGATATTTAAGTGTTAAACGTCTACAGGCCTGTACACGGTCGTGCACTGTGCCCACACACACACCACCTACTGAACTTTAACACTCGAACGCCTGCAGGTTCCCTCTCGGCTAAATTTAAAATCAATTCATCAGAGGCTTTTAGACATAATTATAGCAGTTTATAAGGCATGACCCACAGTGGACCTGCGACATGTCCCCTGTTGGCTCGGTGGAGTGTTGCTAGGTGTGTAATGATGGGAAGGAGCTCTGTTGGATAGGTACGCTGGCACACACACACACACACACACACACTAGTCCTAGAAAGAAATGATGAAATATGAACATGTCAGCCAGGCAAAGACCCATTACTGATTTTGATTAAAGGAGGTAATAACAGCATTTAGGGAGGTTTCAGCATCTAGATCTCTTTCTGTTCTGGACTGTCTGAGTCCTAAATTATGAATACTGATGTGGTGTAGCTGTCTTTTGAGTCATCTGTAAGGGCATCTTTAATTAGAAAGTTTGTGGCTATCAATGTTGGACCACAGTCTATATTAAGTGACTTTATTTGAAAGGTGAATAGAGCACACACTGTGAAACCCGTTTTACCTGGAGAAAACCTAATCTGACGCGTGTGTTTTCCTCTGCAGGCCGTTCCTGGTACTGCCTCCGCTGATGGAGTGGATCCGGGTGGCGGTCGCGCACACTGAGCATCGACGAAGCTTCTCCGTGGACAGCGACGACGTGAGGCAGGCCGCCAGGCTGCTGCTCCCCGGCGTGGACTGCGAACCACGACAAATAAAGTAAGATTATGATTCTCATAACATGGTTGTAGGGCAACAACCCAGCTGCTGTGGAGGTAGAAATAACCTCACTGCTTTAGCTGCACCTCAGTGAATGACACCGAACTGTAACTGTGGGGAGTGATTCAGGTTTATGACACCTGTATTGCAAGAAAATACCAGGTGAGAATATCAGCCACAGTCTTTCTTAGTTCTGGAAGTGTTGCATCAACAATAAACTTTTGCCCATGAGCCCATTATCTCAGAAATATCCCAGCGGTCACACAACAGGTCCAACTACTGTATGCACACATCCTCAGGAGAGTTATGATGTGCACCTATAAATCTAGCCCTCTTTTTTGACTAGAAATAATTACAACATGCTTGTTATAAAAGCATATATCCATACATATCCAAACTGTCATCATAACAGAGGGCAGATGAGACTGAGGTCCCATATTTTACACTTCTCCAGTGTTTTATTTTGATGTATTGATCCATAAGAAGATATATTTTCATCTCAGTGTAGTTTTACATCTCCTCTCTCAGGCTTCTCTCTGGAGCTCTAGCAACAACAGGTCGGTGAGCCAATCAGAAGAGAGGAGGCTCTGAGCCTCTCTTCTGATTTTAAAGCTCAGTGTCTGAATACAGGCTGTGTGCATTCCTCTGTGGACTGAGGCTTTGATACTTTCACAGTATTAATATAGAACCTAGACCTGCTTTATAATCTAACTACACATTGACATCTGCCTTTAGACTGTATGAGACCTTTGAGGCTGAGTCCTTGCCACAGTGGCCGGGGTTTAAATCCAGCCCAGGCCCTTTACTGCATGTCCTCCCCTCCCTCTCTCCTGCCTTCCCTGTCTCTCTCCACTCTCTCTCTCTGCCAAAAAGAAATTAAAATTCAGCACATAACTAACAAGACATTGACAAACATCATGAAGAGGTTCCTCTCCGACCCCGTGGAAACTTCAGCAGTGACAGCTGTTCGCAGCGTGGATTAACAGGCTTTTCAGGGAGACGTGAATGAGTAATAATGAGTCATAGCAGAAGCTTTACCTGGAGAAAAGCTACTTTAGGAAATGAGGAAAGTAGAGAACAAGAAGCACGCAAAGGAAAATGATGTGTTAACAAATGCAAACTCCAGTGAAATGACTTTGTGAGCAAACAGTTCAATTTTTTTGATATGAACCATTCATTTTATGACACCAAGAGTTTAAGTTGGGAAAAGGCAGAGCGGCAGTCGTTTTGTGTTTCCTCCGGTGTGCGGCGGAGATGTATACCCACAGATCGCAAAATCCATTTCTGAGATAAGCCCCCACCTAATCACAGTAATGGATCTGTTTATTCCATCTGCAGAGCGGAGGATTGCTTCTGTGCCACCCGAAAGCTGGACGCAGCCTCCACGGAGGCCAAGTTCCTGCAGGATCTGGGCTTCAGGATGCTCAACTGCGGACGGACGGACCTGGTCAAGCAGGCCGTGAACCTGCTGGGGCCTGATGGCATCAACAGCATGAGCGAGCAGGTCTGGCACTTAACACACACACTCCTACACGTATGCACAGCGTTGACATCACACACCTACACGGGCATAGTGGAGAGCGATGCGCAATGAATTGTGATTTTCTAACCAGTATTACCTGGCAACCCATCCCAGTTCTCACACATGCCGGGCACAGACTGCTCCCTGTGAGTAATGCAATGTGCTACATTCTTGTGCCATGATGCAACTTTTCAAAATTCACATTATTTAGACTGGATCAAAATCAGGCTGCAACAAATGATTCTTTTCATTATTGATTGATAAACAGGTTTGATTTTAAATGGATAAAACTCAATAAAAGACGGTGACAGAGCGAAGCCCATCTCACCCCGGTCACTCAGTTTGGCTGAACGAGTCCTGATGGTTCCAGACCTTTTCCATTTCAGGATTATTGAGGTCACCGTGCTCCTGGAAACACTCAAAGCTTTAGAAATGGTTTTATACCCTTTGCCCCGATCTGTGGGCCAACACAATTTCATCACAAAGCTCTACAGAGAGTTTCTAGGACTTCAGGGTTTTTGTCCTGACTCACAGTGTGGATTGTTAGACCTTCTATCCAAAGGTGTCCCGTCAGTTCATTTTGCCACAGGTGGACTACAGTCGAGATCTAGACTCATCTCAGGGATAATAAAAGCAAACAGCAAAAGGGTCTGAATACTTCTGCAAATACACACGTTTGCAAAAACGTCTAAAAGATCGTGGATTGACGTGCAAAAAAGGGGAAGGTGTCTAAACACTTTCTGAAGCTACTGTTAATCCACATACAGATATAAAGAGACTGACAGTAGCTTTGCATTATAACTCCAGTGTTCATCCAAAAGATGAGGGAGGAAAGAATGATCTCGTGATACTGCAGCACTTTTCCCGGCCTTGAGCTTTGATGGGTTTTGCTTTGACCGTCGGGTCGATATCTCGGCTTTACTGCATCCAAGTGTTAATGTCATTTGGGAATTTCTAAATTCCCCTGTCAGTGGAGATATCGGTTGTTCCTTGCACTAAGTGGAAGTTAATAGTGCAGTCTGATTTTCCATGGTCAGAAAGCTGTGCCTGATTAAGTTCAATTAAGAAACTTTTAGCAGGTTTCCACTCAGGGTTTGTGTTTGTACTGAGCCCCTTTTTGAGTTTGTTTCTAACGTAAGATTTTTGTTTTAAAAAACACTGACCCTGATTTCTAGCAGGTTGATTCATGCCACATTCAGTCAGATCATTCGACTGGAAGAGACCTGAGTTCCCTTTCGGTATTTGCACGTCCTTATCAGTATAACAAATTGTATTGACACTTTTCCTCCTCACTCCTCACATAAATATGACGCCATGGTGACACACAGGCCCCTAAATGGTGCAGGGGACCAGACAGCGTTACAGGAGCAATAAAGTGAAATCTGCTGTCTGTCATCACGGCTGAGAGGCATTTGAACTCATCATGATGATCATCGGGGTCAGTCATCTCTCGCCCTGCAGCCGTCTGCTGATTAAGTAGATCGGCGTCCAGGAAATGTTTAAGGATGAATCACCACAAAGGGATGTGAGCCCTCGACATAAAGTGCTGTGCTGTGTTACGAGCTGGTCGTAAAAGGCCTCTGTTGAACATAACGGCTCAGATCAGGCATATGATTGAAGTCTGTTTTATGGAATCTCGTCCAAAAAACACTGGAAAACGTTCTCCTCTTTAGTCCGGACCGTCTGGTGCACGGGACGCTCGGTTTACATTAAAGTTCTTTCGTTATTTTATTTCCTCTTTGCAATAACACTTGAGTGAAGCTTGGCCATGCCGCTCGGAGCGTAATGTGTGTGGGCTCGTCAGGCTCAAGAGAGTGCTCGGTGCATACGGTGGCCTGCAGAGATATATGATGTTACGGGAGGAGTTTTGCAGCCCGCCTATGTTGTCGCTCTCGTCGGTTATTTTGAGAAAATTAGAACTTGAGAGCAAACCGCTGGAAAAGCCTCTGATTGACAGGATGGGCTGCATGTTATGTAGGAATACCGAGTTTATTCGAGTGCAATCCTTAGGCACGGAGCTGATTAGTGAACTTATATCCTCCACATATGGCACTTCAGAGGTTCCTTATGACAGAAGGGTGATTTAAAGAACATTACGTAAAGAGAGACTCGGGGACTAAATGTATTTGCGTTGGTTTCCCTGTTGAAGTAATGAGCACAGCTGCTGGTGAGCTCCTTATAGAACGGCTAATGGTCTCCTCAGGGCTTTGCTGATAGCACACAAATCCATGTTCACATTTCTTATGGTATGGTTAACAGAAATGACCAAAGCGTTAGCCCTCACAATATAATGTCATGGGTGTTTGTTCGGTACGATAATGAATAGACGTGATAGAGAATAGTAATTTGTTTCTGAACACAGAACGAGCGTCCGAACATGAGTCTTTCTAAAGCTGCAATAAAACCGTCAGACGTGTATTTTGTATTACTAGCTGTACAATAATTGTCTTATTTATATGATTGAATTCAACCCTTTTAGATAGATAATCAATAAATCTAAAGAACTCAAAAGCCACAGTCTTTTATGGGTTTTAGTTTTTTCTCCAGAACAGTAAAAGTCCCAGAATCCATTAGGCTACAGGACCACCAGTCCATCGCAGAGCTACCGCACATGCCCTCACATTCACACCACTTAGATGGTGAGGGGAGTTAAGAGTTTAAAGTCCACCGAGCCCGGGTGTGTTTGGACCGTGGGAGGAAAGTGGAGCACACACTCGGAGCACGGAGACGGATTCAGACTCCGAGGCAATACAATACGAAAAATTGACCCCTATTTCTCACCTTGACCAAATAACCCAAGGTCAAACATTAGTATCTGCTCTGCTCCGGAGATGTAGTCAGTGTGACGAGCTGTTTTGAAAGTTTGAGGTTTGAGAGATTTGACATATCTGCTTGTTTTTTTTGGTTTGTTTTTAGTTTATAGAAAAGTATTCCACATTTTAGAGGAAATAGTGGAAAGTACATTTCTTTACTTTTTTCATATAACAAAACAAGAAGTTTGTGATTGATAGAAAAGAGGCTCTAACTCTTGATTTAATAGAAGGTATAGTCCCTGACAGAAAGGAGTTAGAAGTCTTTTATCCAATCTGTTCTCACTTTCTCTGTTAGTGGCCGGCGAAGGGAAACTTGAACATCAGAAACTCAACCTGAGCTTCATTGTGAAGGTGACTGGCAGGGTGATAGGCGTCCCACACACCGGCCTGTCTAACTATCTCTGACAAGCAGGTCCCTCCACAAGTCTGGGTCTGTACCGGGCTGCTGCACAAAACAACCTTCACTGTGAGGAACACTCCCGTCAGGAGAGCTGCTCAGTTCATCAGGACGACACACAGGAGGAATCTGCACATGAAAACTTTTGCGGTCTTGTGTTTTTAGAGATTGTTTTTGTCGTGTTGCGTTTTATATATCGTATGTAATAGGAGACATTTGAACTGAACCGACACGACTCGGCACCTTTTCTCCTCAATTAAGCACCGCATCATGTTTCACGCAACCCAAACCATGTAACCCCCCCCCCCCTCTCTCTCGTCCTGCAGGGGATGACCCCGCTCATGTACGCTTGTGTCCGCGGCGACGAAGCCATGGTCCAGATGCTGCTCGACGCCGGAGCCGACATCAACAGCGAGGTCAGTGTCGCCCCATAAAAAAAACGCGTGTGTGAAACGCAGTAAACGTCACATTGGTTCCACATTTTTTATTTTTTTTGATGTATCTGTCCAATATGTTCATTTGCATTTGTTTCTGTGTACCAGTGAAAACGATGAACCAGCTTTGTGTCACCCCTCTCCCCCCGCCCCTTTCCCCTCTGTCTTCATTGTCTCACCTGCTCTCGGCATGCTCTCTGTTCTCCTGGCAGCTCATTACATGAAGTGCACTGATAAGAAACAACAAACAAGGACCACTCGCACAGTAACAATGATAGTTTGTCCCGGCGCTGATACGGAATAATAATCCACTGATACTCCCCCAGTGCGCGGGGCAGTTACTTCATTACATGTTACACCACATCAATAATGCATCGCTGTCGTACGAGTGTGTGCACTTATGTAACTCGCTCCCGCTGACTGTACGTGAAGCATGAACCTCATTGCATTTATTTATTGTGTTGAAGTAAGAAAAAGTAACAGTGGAGCTATGTTGCTTTTTGTCTGCAGTGTGTGTGTGTGTGTGTGTGTGTGTGTGTGTGTGTGTGTGTGTGTGTGTGTGTGTGCAGCTGCTTCAGTCTCAGTTGGCAACAAGAACATGCAAGAATAGAAAAAGCCTCATGGACTCTCCTCCCCCACAGTGACCTCACTGTTGACTCCTGTGGTTGCTCCAATGGTTTAGTGCTTGTGTTTAGTGCAGGTGTGTCGACTCAAAAGCAAAGTGCTACCTGAGTTTATGTGCTGATAAACTGCTCATTTCCCATGTATTTCTAATGGAGTCATGGCCATGCAGATGTTTTTATGTCTGAAATAATTTAATCTAATGATTTAGTTGAATAATCTATGAGCCACGATACAATAAATGTTGTTTGTTTTCCTAAACCAATGTCCTGGTTTTGGTCTCAGGGTGATTCGATGGATACGAAAGTCAAAATATTTGTATTTTTTTAACAGATTTTCCTTTAAATCTGATTTTTTTTTTCTTGTGAAATATTTTTGCCTCGAAAGATCCTTCAAAATAAACAGCTTGAAAAGAGAAAAATCCCTCTGAGCCTTTAAATAAAGTTAAAGCAGACGCCGCCGCACATCCCTGATTATCACTATTAAAAGCATTTTGTTAAAATGACACTCCAGAGTCTTCATGTTGGAATATATCGCAGCCAGTGACGCCGTCTGTTTGTGCTGAAACTGACTGATATTATGAAGTAATTAATAATTCATCGCCGTGAAGACAAAAACACCAACAGTCCCAGTGTTGTTTAGCATCGCAGCTGGAATGAAACGTGACATTATATTAAACATGCGTGTGGAAGAGGCCTCCTCCGGGCAACATTTAGAAATCATTTCTATAATTCACTCTGTGATAAAAAGCCACTGTAGAAATTGCGGAGCAGCATCGTGGCTGCGCGGCTCTTTAATTCGACTCTGCCGCCGGTTTTTGTTCATGAGTCAGCAGCGCCCGTCTCGTCAGTGTCTGTAGTCTTCGCCTGTGTTGTATTTTCTCTCTGGTTTCATTCCCTCTTTGAAATGAAACCCTGTTTAGAGATGGAGCTAGGCAGATAGTACGGCGTGTGGTCACAGGGCCGTGCCCGGGCAGATACTCAGTAACCGCGTCACGTTCACACCGACGATTCAGATGAGACGTAGAACAGAAGTGAAACTCGAGAGGAAAGAAATCTCCCTCTGCCATCCTGCCCTCCTTCGCTTACACTTCTCCTCCTGCATACTGCTTCTCGCTCCTCCTCCCTCCTCCTCCCCCCATCCTCCTTCCCCCCCGCCCTCGCCCTGAGCTGTGAATGTTAATGGCTGTATATCTCTCTCCCTGAACCTCACCTATGACTTCCCAGGTGCCAAGCACAGTAAACAAGCACCCCTCAGTTTATCCTGAAACGCGCCAGGGGACGCCACTCACTTTCGCCGTGTTACACGGACACGTCCCTGTCGTGCAGGTAGTGACGTTTATGACCTGTAACCATTAACCTGTGGCCCTTGCCGTGACCTTTGCACCAAAATGAGGATGATAATGATGATGATGATTATTATTATGGTGCCTCATAATAATAATAATAATAATAACAATGCCAATGTGTCCTTTTTATTTCTCCTTCTTGATCCTATTTGTACAGTAATGATTTCTTTGTGGAGACGACCCGATCGAGGCAAACTCTCCAGACTGAGTTTGTTTTTAATAATGTATGCTCTTCAGATGTGTAGATGAGTCACCCAGTCCCCTGGTTTTCACCAGAACTGGATCTAAGGATTGGTCCTACAGCAGCAGGGAGGAATTTCCAGAGGCAAGCGAAAACAGAGCAGACCTCAGCCAGCCTGATACACAGCCGCAGGGATGCCAAATTTCAGTGTTTTGTTCAGTTCTGTTCAGTTGTAATATATAATAGATTCTCTTGCAGTAGTAACTCTACGAGCTGACTCTGGCTGACAGCCTGATGAGCACCGTCGCCTTCAGGATTTTCTCAATTATTAATCTGCACCACTGCAATCAGAGTTTTTTGTTTTTTGGGGGGGTGGGAGGTGGAGGTGGGGGAGAAGGAAACGGGTTGGGGGTATCAGGAAGAGGGATGTTGTGCTGTAGCGAACCCCTGTTCTTCCTCCTACTTGTGTTTAATGTTTGTCTCCTCCAGCTCCTTCTGAGCCAGTTTCTCCTCCAGCTCTGCCTCCTCCACTCTCCTGCTCCAGTCCTCCTCTCTCTGAACCAGCTCCTGCAGGCTCACCTCCAGTGCTCCACATCTGGCCTTCCACCCCTCCTCTCTGCTCTCCAGCTCAGCCTCCCTCTGAGCGAGCAGGGCCAGGACGTCAANGGTGGGGGGGGTGGGGGGTGGGGGGGTGATAGAAAAAGAAGCCATTTTGATTCTTCCTCTCTCAGCTCGACACCAACAATAACTCGCCCCAGACAGAACCTGATGAGGAAGTGCAGCTAGGAGAGTGTTTAATGTCCAGAGCTCGGACAGTCTCTAAATGAGGTGGTTTAGGTTTCCAGCAGTTGAGGCTTTTCCCTCCTGCCAAGCCTGATTGTAACACACCGTCTCCCCCTCGCCTGTTTTTCTTCTTCCCTTCTCTCCCTCCTGGTTTGTGCCCCCCCCCCCTCTCCACCTCTTCCCATCCCCGCCACAGTTGTTGCTGGATAATAGAGCGAATGTGGAGGGCGCCCTGCAGGATGGGGCGGAGAACTACACAGAGACCCCGCTTCAGCTGGCCTCTGCTGCAGGTAATCACACACACACACACACACACACACACACACACACACACACACACACACACACACACACACAGCTTCCTGATGTGAACATTTGACCCAAGTATTCTCATTCCTGACGAAGCGTATGAGGGATTAGTCGTGACATGTTTGATTCTAAGCTCACCAGAAGGCATTCTTACTCTGCTTTAATCATCTAATTAATTCATCACTTTCAATTACGATCTCGGATTCAGGACGGCGGTGGATTTTAGATGCTGCCTCTCAGGGTTGCGCCGCTGTGTACTTGTGCAGCCATGTATGAACGAACCTGCAGCAGGTATATTTAATTCAGTCAGTCAGAACGGGCTTTAAAGTGTCCGTCGGAGCAGAACCGAACGTGCGTTTGAAGAAAAGTGTGAAGTTGTTCGGAGTCAGGTGAGAAAATCGGTACCGCTCTCTTATCTGTGCAGCAGATGTGAATCAATGTAAATATAAATCAAAACACAACAGGTGGTGTACGGGAGTGTCTCTTTATGTCGCGGCCAGTGACTCTAGGAAGGTGTGCGCAGGCCCCCACGTTGCCACGGTAACGAGATGAAAACACACAGCCAGGGCTAATGAACCGCTATTAACATCCTACTCATGAAATAATAAATAATGTAGCCGAAGTAAAGACCACAATCCCAGAGGTAATTTGTGTTAATGAACAGCAAAGAGTGAGAAAACTTTCCAAGCACAGAATTATTTAAATGCAGGTTCAGACTCTTTTTCTGACTGTTTTTACGGTGACATTAACTTCACTGGGATGTATAAAGCTCAAATAAGCGGCGCACGCAGCAGAGTCTCCATGGTGTCAGATAACGTCTGAAGTGTTGGTGTTAATCACTTTTACAACGGTAGTTTCTGGGTTTTTCTTCAGCAGATCTCGCTGCTCTCGTCACTCGATTCCATTTAAAGCTGCAATGTGGAATTCAGTGAATGTGAAAAGGGTAATTTGATGATTTGTATTTTGTTTGTTGTGCACCTGAACGGCCGTTTAAAGCGCCTCCCTTTCGAAACACAGACATCAGTGGTGGAAGAAGTTTTCAGATCCTTTTACATGAGTAGAAGTACCAGTACCAGACTGTAGAAATACTCCACTACAAGTAAAAGTCCAAGTAAATGTGTGTAAATTATTGAAGGTATCAAAAGCTGAAGTGTTTCTTCTGCAGAACAAAAAACATCAGTAAATGTTTTTTTCAGTTTAACAAACACTGAGAACATGAAACTTTAACACACTTTTTTTTACCACCTGTATCCAGTCACTTAATAAATTTCTGGACTGTAATGTGTCTTTTCTTATAATCTTGAATGTGTTTCCCTTCATCTCATTTCCTGTTTTGTCAAATTAAAGGAAACTTGCACGAGAAAGAAAAATGTCAAAATTAAATTGTGGAAATTAGTGTAAAACAAAGACTTTCCTCAAATGTCTCGTGAAGTTCTAGTAACATAAAGTCATTAAACTGGTATAACTGGTCATATTGAAGCTGATTTAAATGTAAAATCTCATCCTACAAAGTAAGTAAAGTTGTCAAATGTAAATACAGGAAGGTAAAAAAGAACAGAAATAATAGAGTAGCTCAGAATAGTACTAGAGTAAATGTACTGAAGCTTTATCTGAGTGTTTTGCTCTTCAGGTAACTTTGAGTTGGTGAGTTTGCTTTTGGAACGAGGGGCGGACCCCATGATCGGGACCATGTGTCGAAACGGCATCTCCTCCGCCCCGCTGGGAGACATGAACTCATACAGCCTGGCAGCAGCACATGGCCACAGGTAACACACACACACACACACACACGTGCCAACCACCAGTGATACGTATATCTATTACCACGGCGTTGATCCGTTTACGCGCTCTGCCCCGGTCGTTCTCCCTCACACCAAATCCTGCAGCGTTTGAGAGGCAGATATCTCAGTTCGCCTGTCGGACAGCAGGCGACGATAAGCGCCGCAGTCTGCTCAGAGCCACTTATGGCTTCAGTCTGACATCGTTTCCCTGCAGCTGAGTAAGATAAAGCCCATTAACATTCAGGGCAGTGAGAGCTGCTAGGAAGTGGAGTGGAGGCGCAAGCCAACAACACAATGCAGCATTATTAAGACAATCAATTATGGTATGATGATCATGCTGCAGCGTGTCGTGAGCAAGGTTCAAACTGCACAGGAGAGGAGGTGAGAAGTTCTCACACGCAGTTGCTCAGGCACAATGATGAAAAGGTACAAAACACGGCTCGCTCTTTCAAGTTCCTCTTTTTAGAAGTTTTGAAAGATTCTAAGAGAAGATTGATCTGTTTTTTATCTCAACACATTAAGCTGAAATTAGCAGAAAAAATTAGCGAGCCTCCACCAAAAGAGGAAAAAATAAACCTTCAACTTGTTCCAGATTTGTTTTTCTTGCATGTTATATCTTGTTAGCTTTCAAGCTAGTCGCCAAAACATCTTAGAATCACTTCAGAGGAAGGAAAGTGTGCAAAGAAAGAGACGTCACAGCGAGGGACAGGACGTCCGAAACGCCAGCGCCTCCTTACTGAAGCAGATGGTTCACTGATGCGTCCTGAAGCTGTGATCACACTGTATATGTTAATGTAAACAGCTGAAGTCTATTCTTCTTCAGAGGAGTCCATCTGTTACTGCTGCGTCATCCTGGAGCAGAAACGAGTGACGAGTTTACAGACTATAAAACAAAGCAAGAGAATCAGTTTCAGCTTCTACATTTACGACTCTGCGGACCCGGTTCAGAGGACACAATTGTGCTTCGTTAAGTGCATGAGAATATTTGGAGTGTCATCAGAGCTGCAGAGCTGAATGAGCTTAACGTGGAGTTAACTCAGAATGTGTGGGTCAAATTTAGATCGGTTTTCCGGTCTGTGATCATCCACCTCACAGCTTTTCCTCCTACGACTGACCCCAGGCCTTCCTTCTCTTTTTACCTCTTGCCCCCGACCATAAAACCATCTGTCATTCAGTCTTATCGCTCTGCTTTCCTTTAATCTCCATCTGTGTCTTTATCGTCTCCCTCTTCCCCTCCAGGAATGTGTTTCGGAAGCTCCTGTCGCAGTCGGAGAAGGAGAAGGGGGATGTGCTGTCCCTGGAGGAGATCCTGGCCGAGGGTTCGGATCCCGGGGAGAAGAGGTTGGCTCTGCAGGCTAACAGCGGAGGGACCCTGCGAACAGGAAAGGCCAAACTGAGAGCCCTGAGAGAGGCCATGTACCATAGCGCAGAGCACGGCCATGTGGACATCACCATAGACATCCGCAGCTTAGGTCAGATTTACTAATACATGCTTCACTGGCACACATGCCTCGCTCTGTGCTGCCTCCAGCTGTCCTGGAGCTGTGCTCATGCTGTGCCTGTCCTGTCCCGTCCTGTCCAGTCCTGTGCTGTCCTGTACACACCCTCAGCAATCACCGCTACCCATCCAACCATGAAACTGTCTCCGAAGCGGGACTTTTTATATCCGAGGCGATAATAGCCCGGGCCAAAAGGTGTGAACACGATTATGAAACGGTGTCCTCGAGCGCTGCTCATCTTGTAGACGTGGCAATCATCAGCTGTCAGCCCGACATCGTCCACTTCATCGGGCACAGGACCTCGTGTGGCTGTTGATTTGGTTTAATTGATTTTAAGTGACAAAACAGTTTCAGCACACGGTCCAGCTGTTGGTTGCATCACAGTGTTCCTCAGCAGATGGAGTTATAGACAGGAAAGGAATAGTTTGATATTTTATTCTCTTGGCAAGAGTAAGACACGAGAGGATCGATGACCCTCTCGTGTCTGTGCGACAGGTATGATGCTAGCCAGTTAGCTTAGCTTAGCACAAAGGCTGGAAACAAATGGAAACAGCTAGCCTGGCTCTGTGGAAAGGTAACAAACCCACCTACAGGAACCTGGAAAGCTCATTCATCAACACATTATATCCTGTTTGTTTTGTCAGTACATAAAACAAAGTGTAAAAGCAACATGCTGTGGTTTTACAGGGGATTATAACTAAATATTATAAGATTGTCAACTACTGTTTGCAAGAATTACACTTTTAATCTCAGCTATTGAATTTTGTTTCAGAAAATAGTGAAAAATGCCCATGAAAATGTCCCAGCGCCCAAGGTGACAACTTTAATTTGCACTTTTTGTCCGAGCAGCAGTCTGAAACTCAAAGATAACGAATTCACGATGATATAAAACATCAAAAAGCAGCAAATCCTCAAATGTGAGAGGCTCAAACGGGTGAATGTTTGGTTGATAAATGACCTATCAATGAATTTTCCACTCAGTTAATCATCTAATAATTTCAGCCGCGCTGTTGAAACTCGGAGCTCCCACCGTCACGCCATGATTTATGTTGATTTCATGCGCACATCATTCACTGCTCATCATATTGTTGCTGAACATTACAGTCATTTTTTTCTAACAGGACATCCTTTAATTATATTGCTGCTTTTTTTTTTTTTTTTTTTACTCCCACCGGAGCCTCCGACTTTCCACTAATCCAACACTCACCGTGCAGTTGCCCTTCAAAACTCGCACTAACGCCATAAAGTGATGGAAACATGGTCGGTTCTCTCGCCCTTGAAACCGCTCAGACGTGCAGACTTTCCCTTTTTGCCGTAAGTGTGTATTTACTGTCCGTGTGGTGGTGTTCCCAGGCGTGCCCTGGACGCTGCACACCTGGCTCGAGTCCCTGCGCACCTGCTTCATCCAGCACCGCCGGCCGCTGATCCAGGGCCTGCTCAAAGACTTCAGCTGCATCCAGGAGGAGGAGTACACCGAGGAGCTGATCACGCACGGCCTGCCGCTCATGTTCCAGATCCTCCGAACCAGCAAGGTCACCGGGGCTTTCTCTCACCTGCATGTAAACAAAGTGCTTGTTAGGGAAACATCAGACAGAGTGAGGCTGGGTTTGCTGGGAATACAAACTGTCCTGTGCTCATGTGCAACGGTGACATTAATACTCACATTTGCATATATTTAGTTGCATTCTAAACCATATTATCATACATTTGCATGAAATTTAGTCCTGAATAACTCAGAGGCCACGGAACCGTAATCTGTGTGAAGTTTGTGCCCTCACTCGTGCTGGTGTGTGTTTGCAGAACGAGGTGATAAGCCAGCAGCTGTCGGTTATCTTCACCCAGTGCTACGGGCCCTTCCCCATCCCTAAGCTGACAGAGATCAAGAAGAAACAGACCTCGCGCTTAGGTAAGAGAGCCGGTTAAAAATAGTGGCTGCTCCTCAACGCTCTCCTGTGCTTCCTGCATGAAAGGAAGCCGAGTGATGAGGGAGTGACAGCAGAGTCTGAGTCACAGTGGGAAACCAGGGGATTCTTGTTTTTCTGGGGGGGGGGGCGGGATTTGTCTCCCACTTTGGCGAGGTCGGAGATCACATGTCAATCAAGCTGATTTAATACGAGGAAACATGTTCCTGGTCTTTCTTCAGCAGCGTGTCAAGCTTTTATAAACTCTCTCGTTCGGCCCTTTAAAATCACAAAAAGGCAAATGTTAATTACATTAATATCACTCCAGTTTATTGACTAATACAACAATTTATTCTCAACATTTGGGAAATATCACAGTGTAATTAAATTCTTTGTGTAGTTTTTCAGAATTGAAATGCAATCCTCAGTCATTACCACACACCCCCGAACCAAGATTAACCCTTATCTTTCTTCAGCAGCTCAAAAACTTTGTTTTATCAGCTCGATGCTTCATGACTTCACCTCATTTAATGAGAATTGTTGATGAGGTGAAGACGTTCAGATGTCTGGTACAGAAATGACAGCAGCTAAAAAACATGTTTAATTACAACTGATCTTCATCTGCTGCATGATAATCACCTGTGACTGACCCTCCCAAATCTGCTTCATAACATTTTTAACAATAACAGAATGAATAATACTTTGTAGTAACTCCAGTTTTCTGTTTGTCACAGTTCTAGGTTTTACCACGTATCTACAGGTTTTAACAAGGTCTGCAGAGAAGAATAAAATACCTAAAGAAGAAGTGAAAAAAAGTTCATTTTATAATTATTTGTATAATTATTTTACACATGAAGCCGAGGCGTCTGTGTGACTCCAAAGCACAGAGAAGGAAAACGAACTGCAACAAACAGTTTATCCTCAAGAGTTCCTTACACAAATTTTGAACCTTCATGATCTCGGTTTGTTTTCCAAGCAGATATTTTTTGTTCACACGTCACTGATGATGTGATTTATCAGTTTAATCTGGTATTAAAAGCTCCTTTGAAGTCGGGAAGGTCACAGACATTTCCACATTTCCATTTTTCTCTTTCTTTTTCAGATGTTCTTTTTAATTAGAGCAAGAGGAAGCTGTGAAACCCTCAGTGACTGTGCTGCAGCACCACCTAGTGTCTGTTTATCAACAGGGTGAAAGTACAATGACAAATGGTTTGTTATTTTGTGTGTGAAGACGATTAAAGCTTGAAAAATCTTTGACAGCTAATTAATTTATCACAGTACTCAAGGATGCTCTTTCAGACGCAGCTAAAAGGAGCGGATATCAAATCCAAATTGGCTGCGTTTTTACAATTCCTCTCAAATGGAAATAGTTGTATTTCGATAACGCGGCGCTGATCGCTAAGTGATGAATCGCTCCGAGAGTAATTAATGACCACATTAGCTTAATCTTCTGCTGTTTGCTGTTCTGCACCCGCGGTGTAGGAGACGTGAATAATGATGCATCATTACGCTGTTTTTTATTGAGTTTTCATTGTCATCATCTTTCCTTTTTTTCAGACCCTCACTTCCTGAACAACAAGGAGATGTCGGACGTTACTTTCCTGGTGGAGGGGAAACCATTTTATGCACATAAAGTTTTGCTGTTTACAGCGTCACCCAGGTAAAGGGAACATTTCGCCCTTATGTTTATTGCTGCCTTTTTTTTTTTTTATTTGTGTCTTTTATCTTTATTTTTTTCCACGTACAAAACAGCTGTGATGTCCCCCTGAGTTCTCCTCTGTCATCCAGGTTCAAGTCGCTGCTACAAAACCGACCAGCAGCAGAAAACACCTGTATTGAAATCAGCCATGTCAAGTACAATATATTCCACGTAAGAACTTTATTCTATTACCTTTTTTTTTCTGCTAATAAAAATCCTTTGACAAGACGACACATAAATCGACAATCAACACATTACAAATAAACAAATATATTCCTTAAAGAGTTGTGACCAGGATGTTTTACTGTGTGCAGGATATTTTATTTAAATAAAGTATGTGATGACAGCTCTGTTTCTAAATGACCTCACACACTCAGTCTGAAGCGTTTCCGTTCTGTTATTTCTCCCCATGAAAAGAGCATCACATTGGTTTTTAATCTGGAGCTGAAAATAGTTCCCAACAAATGCATTTCCTCCTGTCTGAGTAACGTCTGCTAAAGTAAATAGATAAATAAATCGCCGGCAACAGACAGGATATGGAAGTCAGAATGTATTTTCATGGGATTTGTTTGACGATAACAAAAACGTTGAATGTATCTGTGATGAGCTACAGGTGTCAGCTACATCAGCCTGGCCGGGTTTATCTACTGCCATCTACTAATTATTGTTTTTTATCATCAATTGATCTGTTGGTTATTTTCCAATCAGTAGTTTAAACTGCAGTGTGTCAGGAAATCGTTAAATAGGATCCATGGTGACTTACCTAATGATTAATAATAGAATAATTAACTTTCTGTCAGTGCGTATTGATGAGCTCTGGAGTCAGTATCTAAACATCAGGATCCTGTGAGACTTTTAACCTTTTATTTGTCGATACTAGTGACGAGTTGGGGATGTTTTTATTACTTTAAATACATGTTCCTGAGCCAAACCTGAAATGTATTGAATCTAAATGAGTCATTTCAAGTTTATTTCCTTTATATTAATTAAATTTGGATTCAGAAAAACTCCCACAACCAAAACAGTAAAGATTAGTAACATTACAATAAAAAGACACTTCAAAACTAAAAGAAATGTAGATTATGATACAGACTGAAGCCTGTTCTGTTGTGTTTCAGCTGGTCATGCAGTATCTGTACTGTGGAGGCACCGAGTCGTTGCACATACGCAACACTGAAGTTATGGAGGTAAGACAGACTTAACGGACGCCTGCTGAGCGACAGCGCTGGTATTAGCGTTTCTAATCCCGAGTCCTGTGCCTCATTCTGTGCGGCTGTACTGTTCCCCCGCAGCTCCTGTCTGCAGCCAAATTCTTCCAACTAGAGGCCCTTCAGAGACACTGTGAGATCATCTGCTCCAAGAACATCACCACCGAAACCTGCGTGGACCTCTACAAACACGCCAAGGTGAGCACCTCTCTCTGGGAACAGATTAAACTATTTGTCAAGTTGTCGTAAAACACCAACGTAAAACAGACCAAATATGTTCCTGTAATAAACTCTCACACAAGGCACCAAGGTAACACTAACAGGCCCCCGCGGATTCATAAAAATGTGATATTAAATATTGATGAAACACTCACACTGCCTGTTACAGCTGTTTTTAAAAGCTGCACTAATCAATAGTTTTATGTGACGACGGATCTAAAGACGGTGTAATGTGAAAGGTGTCGCTTTTCATTTTCCTGTTATCACCCGGCTCTGCGGCTCCTCTCGCCTCTGCGGATGTTTAGCATCTTCAGTCTCATTGTTTTGGTTTTAACAGGCAATAACTTCAGTGTTTGGGTTCAGGGTCGCTCCCACTGCTCTCACAGTGATGCTTTCAGGGAACGCTCTGTAAAACTGATTGGTTTTAAAGTGTCCTATGTTCCCAGGAGTGCAGGAACAGCTTTCTGAAAGCTTCGGCCTCCAAACCTTTTTCTCTCTTAGTCACTGTGTGTATCTGATGTGTGACGGTTGAACCTGCTGGCCTTGTTGCTGTGAGTATTTCTGTAAATTCTTTAAATGGAGTAGTTGTCCATTTTCTGTTTTAAAAAAAAGCGCTGAAATTGTGGAGGGGAACTGTCTCTTTCTTTTTCACCATTTCCTCGCTGTCCTTCTTGAATCTGCGGCGTTCCGGTTCAGCGAATGTCTTTTTGTTCGTCTGTTGTTCGTAGTTTCACCTCGGGATTAATTGGCACTTTTTGAGGAGAAAGATTGTTTTGTTTGTTGTTTTGACCTCGAGTGACCCTGAGCTGCTTCAGTTCACTGTCACAATTTCACCTTTTTGGAGAAATAAATTATTTCACTTTAAATGCAATTTAGTTTTCAGACTTTGGTTTTGGGGACCAGAGAGGGAACAGCTTTATTATTTATGCTGTGCCCCTGTAGACGAGGGCGTAGCACCAGCTGTAGCTGCTACAGCTCCAGACAGAAAGTCACAGTGGAGCGTTCAGCAGCTAAAGAGCCACATAAGTTCTTCATGATTCCCTGGAGACTAAAAACTGAGCTAAAAGTAAATATTACACTTTAACACACGACTTCAAATGTACGCTAATGCTGCTGAATGAGTAACGTTTGCTATATAAACTTTATGTGTTGCTAATATGTCAGTGTTGTTTTTAGCTTCACGCTGCACCCAGACAGATAGATAGATAGATAGATAGATAGATAGATAGATAGATAGATAGATAGATAGATAGATAGATAGATAGATAGATAGATAGATAGATAGATAGATAGATAGATAGATAGTGAACCCTCACTGACCTTCAAAGTCTTATTTTGAATGTCAAATGAATTGATTTATAATAATAACAGCACAAATGAAGTAGAAATGAAAGTTACTGCATGGTCGGTAGATAGTATGGTCACATGGTTCCTTCATCACTGCAAATTATTGCACTTTTTCTGGACTTTCTGTCATGAAAATGATCAGATTTTAATGTTTTCATTAAAGCTGCTGCATGAAGAATTTGAAAATGTCTGACTTTGGCGCCTTCGAGCTGCAGCATCAATGAGCTGAAAGAAACAACAACGCTGCACTTCTGATTAAGATTGTCTCAAACACATTTACACGTAGTTGTTTTAATGCAGCTTCCAAAGCAGTTAACCACTCTCTTCGCCATCTTTGTTTCTTGTAGTTCCTTGGCGCCACGGAGCTCACGGCTTTCATCGAGGGCTATTTCCTGAAGAACATGGTGCTGCTGATCGAACTCGACAGCTTCAAGCAGCTTCTGTACGAACCTCCCCCCGCCGAGAGCCCCGCGTCCAGCCCCGGCATCTGCTCCGACATCCTGCTCGACCTGGAGAAGACTCTGGCCACGCGCATCCACTCCATCCACCTCTCCACCTCCAAGGGCTCCGTGGTGTGACGCCGTCCTCTCCGGAGCGCTCCGATCCAGCCGCAGCATCCATGTAACACCATCCAGTGTCCCGCTATTACAGCCCCCCTCCCCCTCCCTCCCACCTGGTCCCAGCCCCACTGCTGAAGAGGAGTTTTTATGTCAGGGATTCCCTTTAATTCTGCCCGTTGCAGCCAACGGAGGGGTTCATGTCGGCGTACGAGACGAAAGCGGAGAAACTTTCTCGCTTTGTTGGAGGCTTGAACTCGTCGTCCTGATGGCTCCCACTGATCACATCACATCACACCCCCATACAGTAAAAAAAAAAACTGTCACACAAACAATAAAGTGACCTGACCCAGCAGTATCACTTAGACCTAACCATGATTATAAAACTTTCTATCGTATTTCATATAGAATACATGCATGAAATACATACTGTACACCTTTTTTGCTTAAAAGGTAGAGTAGAATTTTAACTCAATAAAAGCAGCTTTCTCATCATCTCTGATATGAGACTTCAGTTTACAAATAACATCACTGTATGGAAGTGGATGCCATCGCAGTAGAAAGTTTCACACATGCCAAAACATAAATATAATCCTACTATACAACCAATAAAAGTGACTCGTAGCAATGCCAGCAGACAGATTTTAGGCGGACTTGTTTGAACTTCTTTCCATTTCATTCTGTCACTTCTATGTTGGATTCGTTTCACTGTGTTATATCTACTGTGTGCAGAGGCCAAACTGATCACAGGAACTTCCACCGTGGCCGACACCGCAGCGCTGATTCAGACTCGAGGCGGCCCACTCAGTGAAATCTATGCTGACGTACGCTTGAAACACGGCTGTCCAACTGGGAAATTAACTTGTGGTAACTCCACGAGCACTGTCGGGTTTATTTATTTTTATTTTTTTATTTTTTATTTTTCTTTCTTTTGCATGACACCTCCTCCACTGAGCTGCCCTGATATTGCTTTTTATGCAGAGCTTACTTCACGAACCAATTTCGCAAAAAAGGGGAAGTGAGGGAAAACGCTGCTTATTAACTTTGTATCTACTGCAAAACAGACTGGACTGAGCCGGGTCTGGAGATGGATTTTGACAGGGAATTTCTCTTAAAGATATTTAAAGCAAAGTGTAAATACGTCCTGAAAGTCATCGTGCTGGTCGTTCTTTTTATTTTTCTTTTGTAAACTGATGTACAGTATTCTCCTACACTCGCTTGGCTGATGACAACAGTCTCACTGAATGTGCTCCCTGAACAGTTTGTTCCTGCTGTATGTCTCTGTTTATGCAAAGTTGCATGTTTAATCTGTTTCGTACGACTCCTCCCTCTCGCCGTAGGTGTGCTGTCTGTGTAGATGGGTAGGGCTGAGTAGGATGTTGATTGTTCCAGTTGAAGTCCAATCGAAGGATGTTCCTTCACATCGTTTCGCTATTTCTGATACATTCCAGATGATCAGGGTAGATGTCTGTCACTTTTTGTTTTTAAATTTCACCTCATCTGAATTTATCAATAACAAGCAGCACTGGATTTATTAGAGACGCAACGTTAACAGACAAACGTGACCCAAAAAATCTGCCTGTTTTAAAACTAAATAAATAAATAAATAAAGTCGAAAACTGGGCAAAAAAAAAAAAAGTTGGAAAAGTTGGTGGATAAAAATCGATAAAAGCTAAAAGTTCATTGGAGATAGCTTCATCATGATGAAAACGTTTCATCATGTTATCCACATTGTTTTTGGAGGAATTAGCTCCACCAGCTGTTTATCTTGATGTTGCCCAACTCGCAACATCTGCACAGGAGAAGTGGATGAAACGTGGGTTCATCTACTTTTTTGTTTTCCTTAAATTCAGACGTGAACTCAGCTGCAGCTGAAACTCGTCTACAGCTCGGGAAAAACAAAACCCTCCTGGTCGAATCATCGGTGCAGAAGAGGAAAAGAGGGAGAAGTTAACTAAGGAGTATTTTAGAAATGATGTTTTGTGTTGAACGGAGGGCTGGAGGAAACTGAGAAACACAATCTGAAGCTTTAAAGAATTTAAATTTCCATTCTGCTTCAAATCGACATGAGTTTTTGTTCCCGGTTTCAACGACAAAGACTTTGAATTCACCGCCGCTTCTCACTGGTGTTTTCTCCACGGCAACAGCAGCCGAGACGATACTGAAACACAAACGTTATAGAATCGTTATTTTACCTGCAACAGTTCCGTGTTTCTACGTTCAGTAACATTGAGGATGTCATTTAAAGAAGAAACATGAAATGGAGGTGCAGGAGGAAAAGCCTTCGGCCTTCTGCGTCAGTGTGAAACAGCACATCTTCACACTGAAGCCAAACAAAGGCGGAACAAAATCCCAAACACCTGAGCCAAAGATGGAAAAAGGAAAATCTTTTCTTTTTTTTCAAAATAAAAGATGCAAAATAAACAGATTTTATATGTTTAAAAAAAAGTTAAAGTGAGTTTAAAAGTTTAAAAAGTGAGAAGAGGCAGATCAGACAATAAAAAAAGTCCATGTTTCATAACCAAGTTTCATTTGTATTCTATTGATTTTGACATTCTGGTGTTTACATCAGTTATTGATGATGTATTGGCTCAGGTGTTTTGAGAATTTGATTGGTTGTTCCAGCCTGTGGCTTTAGTGTAGAGACGTGTTGTGTTCGTATTGTCCGTTTGACGTCTGAGATGTTGCGTCTGTAATGAACCTGGTGCTGAAAGTATTCACACATTTGACTTTCTGTTTCGTGTAATGACATTTTTCCTCCACACCTGCCCACCTGCTGCGCATTTAGATAACGCCTCGGTTCCGAAAAGGACCAAATGCTAAAGCAGACTCCCTCTGGAGTTTAAAGTCGCTCGATCTAAATCGTTTAAGAAAATCTGAAAAAATCCCCGTTTGACCCGACCATGACCCTCTCGCTCAGACACAACACATCTTGATTTAGGAAGAAACCATATGGTCTATTTTATGAATGTAACAATGCAACAAAAGTCAGATATTTACAAAATGTGCAACGTCTCCAGTCCAGCAACAAAACCAAAAGAAGATGCTTCCCTCTGTTTCTAACAGCTTACAATGCAAACGTCTCGAAAGTGTCTTCATAGTTTGTGGTGGTTGTTTCTACATGAATCTGACTGTACCTTCAGAGAAGAGACAAACCTTATGACTTCAGATATTGTAGCACACTCAAAATTACTTAAATATTTGTTTTGGGCCAAAAAAAAAAAAATACAGTCTAAGAGAGAAGAGAAACATACAGGAATATACGAGCTGGTTTTAAGTTCTGTAAATAGTTACAGAAAGTGAAATATAGATATTATCCTACGACTTTATTTTCTTACCTACATACATAGCACTATATATTTTATTTTACATTCCACAGCTATTTTGTTTTACAAAAGTGAAAATGATTATATAAAAAGATGCTTTAAAGTTTTGAAATCAAGCAATATTTCCATCGGACTGTATTATTTTGACGAGTACAATGAATAATATGCCACAGGATACGGAGCTATAATATAAATGTGAATTGAAAGACACATAACGGACAAACGAGTGACTGAAAAAAAGCCTGAATATATTCTTTTTCTTTGTATTCTTGTGACATCCCACCGTGTATTTTATTTTAAATGTATTTCACTCATTTTAAAAGACTATTTCTACCGTATAGGCTGCCAGTCTGTTGATTTTACCCTGATAGCTTTTTACTGAAGCTGTTACTTAGACTAAACTCTGGTTGAAAAACATTCACTTTTACTACATAAACTGAATCATTACACACGCCCACACATCTGAAACTTACTATTTAAATGTGAAATGTAACTTAAAGATGCAAACCGTTTTGTCTCCGCAGAGGTAAAAAGGTTCATAATGATGTCAAGCACTTTTTGTGCTAGTGTTACTGTAGCCTCACACAATCAGAAGCATTAGTATTTGAACTGTAAGCTTAGGTTTGAGTCTCGTTGTGACCAACAGCAGCTGAATATGGCTTTAACATTAACAGATGAGAGACTTGAAGCTTGTCTCTGTTTCTATCAGTCTGAATGTTATGTCATTAGCAATAGACGAACTTTAGCTTGCCCCCCCCACCACCACCACCACCACCCCGCCCCGCCCCGCCCCGCCCCACCTGTACTGGCGCTTTTGATTCGAAACTGGGTCAAAGCCGTAGAGTAAATGTCGGTTCGCATGGCTCTTCTTGTTTAATGTTGTTGAGAATGTGCTCTGTACACCAGCTCTGTTGAACAGGACTCTCCCCCTTTAGTTGTCTGAGCATTTATTTGCCTGCGTATTTGTTCCTGGTAATAAACAACAATTTCTCCTAGAAGCAGTGGAAACATGCATGGGATGTTCACTAGATTTCAAATCCACGGGGGGATGAACTTTTTGCAAATTCTTTTCTTTTTTTTTTTCCTTTGATGAGAACATGTATATTGTACAAAATATATATATATATATGAAATATAAATTATACATGGTGTGAGAAGCAGGGATGTGGTGGAGTATAACAACAAAGAGGAATGTTACACTCGTGCTACAGTTTCTGTCGTTCCATGACATGCTTTTGTGGACAGCTAATAAACGACCACAGTTTAAACCGTATTTTGTTTGTGCAGTATTTAAACTGTCGGATGAATTTGACATGAACTGATGCTGATATTCACGGTACGTGTGATCTCCAGCTGGTAAAGAGGGTCAAAGGTCAAAGGTCAGTGTGTCCTCACAAAATGTGGTTTTGAGCTTGTTGGGAGTCCCTTCAGATTTGAATGTTCACTTCAAGTTAAGAATGAAGTGATTAGACTTTGGTGATCAAAGGTCAAAGGTTTATTTCTTTACAATGAGCATTTACAAGCTCACAGAGCAACTAGCACAGCTGTGGACTCTTCAACTGGTTCTTTGGGCTGCAGTGTGTGTGTCCTGTGAGTTATAGTTAGGCTGTAAAGTGTCAACAACTTCCATGAAAAGACCAAAACAAACTGTATTACTCCACTGACTGAGGCGCACAGCAACAAGCCCATTTAATCCTTAAAAAAACAGGTCACAAATAAGAAGTTTAAGTTTTTAAAAAGGATTAGTAAATTCCTAAAACAGCTGAGCACAGTAGTTTCTAACACAGTTTCATAAAAAAAGAGTAAACAGTGCATTTGTTGGGTACTATTTTCAGCTGTGGATTAACACACATTTAGTGCTCTAGCGAGTATTTCCAGCAGCAGCTTCAGTGTATAAACTAAAGTGATAATGAAGGAACATTTCGCCCAGTGCAAACATGTCTTGTTAACAGTACAGAACAACACCGGAGCTCTATAACACAGAGGATTAAGAAACACGGTGGCTTTAGATACACAGATCAAATAACAGTTGGTTTTTGTTGACAGCAAGATAAAAATAAAGAAAATAAATAACAATATCAAATATCACCAGACTCATACTTTAAGAAATAGATGACCAAACTCAGAATGACAGACATTCAGTTTTAATTTAAAAGCCATCATGAGGAGGAGGGAGGGGAATATGGAGCAATAGCTCACATAAAAGGTGTGTGGCAGCTGATGGACGAGGAACATTTGATCTTGCACTGTTTATTTGTAAGAACAGCTCATAAATAAACACTCATGCAAACTATTTTTATCAAATAATGGCAAATGCTTCTTGTAGGAGTCCCTATATTTGACTTGATCTACAGTTTAAAGAATAAAAGACATTTAAACATTGTAAAATTTACTATAATATAATAGTATATACAGTAACAGAGAAATCACAGATGAAAGCAAACAAAGCCGTGAGTTTGGAACAGCTTTGTTCTTTTACAAGGACACTGCAGCATCCCCTGAATAAAAATGTGACAAATCTGGCTGCAGCCCAGCACCAGGGTGTTTTATCAGTCCCTTCACTTCAACCCAGCAAATGACTGGAGATACTGAAAGTCATGACAGCTCCCTCACAAAGCCAGCGGACTGTCTGCTGTCAGGCTGATGAAGAAATACAAGGTCATAAAAAAGTCTGGAGGAGAGTTTGGCTGTGATTCAAATTTTTTTTTTGGGGGGGGGGGATTCCTTCTCTCTCTCTCTCTCTCTCTCTCTCTCTCTCTCTCTCTCTCTCTCTCTCTCTCTCTCTCTCCACAGAGATACAAACTGCACAGAAGATACTGAAGGAAAGAATGATACCACTGTAGTCATGCAAGTTAAATTACACTTATTTATTTATATATGTGAGTAGATAAATTAGGTTTACAACGAGGCCATTTCGAATTGTCTTGTGGTTTTCTTTACACAACAATAATTGAATATGTCTCTATTTAATATCACATATTTTGTTGCTGAAGTAAAGTTAGTCTGGCCTTTCCTGATGGTTCGTGGTTTTAGATTCTTTCCTCTCCACTTTGGTCCCCTTCTTCTTCTGCTTACACATTTATGCTGAGTTTAAACACTCAACAGACAGCATGCAATCACTAAAACAATAATTTATCAAGATGCTTAAAGAGTTAAATGACTTATTTAACCTTTCTTTCTAACAAATAGGAAGAATTTGCTGTATTGGCTACTGGAGATGTTTGTCTTGGAATAAAATCTTATAAAATAAGTGTCATATTTACATTTTTATACTAGAGAAATAATTTACATGAAATGCCTCTGAGGTGGTTTTACTTTATGTGATGTGCTTGAAGTATGTTTCCTGGCACATTTGTATGTGTTTCTAAAAGCTGATATAAAGTTTCCTTAAAAATGTTCGTGCCACACTGAATAAACATCTGAAACATGATTACAAACAGTAGATATTTGACTAAAAGTGAATAATTATATTTATATTTATACCAAACAGAAAGAATGTGTTGTATTTTCTACTGAAGACGCCTCTTCGCATTAAATGTTTGGGCTCATTTCCTCATATGACCACTAGGGGGAGTAGAACCCAAAACTACTTTATGTATGCTTGACATTTCCCAGACGAAGAAGAGAAACAGCTTTCCTTTGCTGCCAGGCCCAAAGTTGGTGTAATTGTCACGCACAGTAGTTTTCTTGATTGAAATTAACTAAACAGATGTCTCGGCAGGTCGCGTGGGGAGACATGTACCCGTAAAAGCCCGCGGCAACTGAATGAGACGTAAATTAGTGACTACGCCTGCGCACACCTATCAGAATATCGAGCCGCCCTTCCTCCCCGCCGCCAACTTGCACCGCAGGGTCGGGCGGACGTCGACTCACAACAACCCCGAGTTGATTTGCTTCGCTAACTGAACACTTTCCGAGTTAAAATGGAGAGTCCGCAACGCGCCGAAAACGGTAAGCTGAAGATAATTCAGACAAGTGTCACCCATAGCGAGATATCACGTTTTCTTTTGGATTGTGTGCGCCCGATTTTGAACATGGCGTACCCCGCTCTGAGATGGCGGTGGCTTTGTGCTGCGTTACAGCGCCAAAGAGCTGATGTGTGCTGTAGTCAAGGGAAGGAGCTTAACGTCAGCTAAGCTAGTTAGCAAACAGTCAGCCCTGATATTTTGTATCGTAACATAAACGCTTTAACTTGACAGTCAGTGGCAGTTCACTGTCCACGTAGATCAGATAGCAGCTGAAAATGAGCGCTGTAACGGTTGACAGGTGCTGCATTCGCGGGCTTCAACTAGCTAGTGGCTAAAAACAAAAATACAAAACAGCTAGCGCCTGAACGTCGGACAGGCTTTAAAATAGACATACAGCCACACGTTTACTTAAGTAAAATATCAAAACGAATAGCGATGTCATTTCAAAAGAAATGCACCACCTTTACCATTTTCACACTACTTGGATAGCATGGAAAGTCACCTCCGTTGCAGCCATGTTTACCACTAAGTTGGAGCGCTAATGTGCTGTGAGTCGTTATTACGACACACGTGCCAGTCCCTGAAGGCAACCAGGCTGTGTAGTGGATGGCCCACCAGGAGCCTCAAAAACCAGAGGTTCACTGTTAGTTAGTTATTGTGGTGGTATCACTAATTATACTTTTGTTTGGGAATGTTAACCAGCAGACCAGGTTTTGGAGCCATGTGACAAAATCTAGGTTTCATACTGACATTATTTCAGGTAATATTGGGATCAACTTGGACATAATCCCAAATAAATATGACTAATCAAATAGCCGCATACTAATTAACCTACATTTGAGCTGAGCAGGAGCTGTGGTTGGGCTTTTTGGGGTTGTACACAAAGAATGATAAAGCCCTCTATGTAATCTGCAGTATTTGATTAGTATATGAAGGCTACAGGGTTTCCCACATCTTGTTTCTGACCCAGGGTCACCAAGCAGAATAATCTGTTAATGGATGTGCTGTAAAACAAGTGATGTGTCCTATTTTTAGAGTTAATTTGCATAATTGTGGTGCAAAGAGAAGCTTCCAGAAATTGCTGTCACCTTTGTTGTGACTAGTGTTTGTTTTTGCAGGCTGATATAAACATGGATTGACAAAAGCTGATATTAAATGCCAGTTCACCTCCAGAAACATTACACTAAGGCTGCATTAAGGATTATTTCATTATTGTTTGATCAGCTGATTTTTTTTTCTCGATTTATAATTGATAAATCATTGTGCCTGTAAAATGTCAGGAAATATTGAAAGATGCCTGTTATCATTTCCAAACCTAAAGTGGGTTTATAGTCATATATGACAAACAAGAGCTTTTTTTTGTTGCAATTGATTAATTGATGCATTCATTAGACTAAACATAGGCTCACAGAACAGCTAAACTTAAAACTGAAAGTAAATCATAATTATTAGAATTAAACATATCTGTACAGAAAGTAATATAAAGTGTATATGAAGAATAAAGTTTAACATTAAACACTTCCTGTTACAGACTTAGACTTCAGGAGAGATACAGAATGTTGATGCAGTCAGACACATAGACGTAGAAAGTAAACAAAGGATTTGCTGCTATTTGTCCTTTAATAAAAGCCCAGTGCTCATAAAACATCAGCATATCCATGGACTCTGAGCATATTTCTGTTTAATCACACGCACATTGTGATATATTTTCCAGATCATCCCCTTCTGCTGCCGTCTCTGCGCCTCTTCATAGCCCCGCTGCGCCTGGCGTCTGCAGCCATGTGGCAGGTGGTGCAGAGGGGAAATGTGCACGACTATGGGATGGTGGAGGAGTTCATCAGCACTGTGACAGAAATTGTACCTGAACTACTGAATGCAGATCAGAAAGCTCAGCTCCTTCTGGGCCTCAGAGCACGGGTAAGACTGTTTGAGTGTTTAGCAGAAAGTTTTAATGATTCAAAAGGAAACTCAGGGGAAGGGCAGAAAATGACAACGGCAGCAGTTTGGTTTCTCCCCTGCAGATGTTAAGCTGTCAAAACAAAGTGTACAAACCTATTGTTATGCATTCTAGCAGTCACCTTGATACACTTTTTTGTAATGGCTATAATAATACCAACACCACATAAAAATTCAAAGCACCTGTATGTCTCATCTGAATGTTCCCGCTCTGAATCCTACAATATGCTGTATTCACCTTGAGGTGAAATCATATGTTGCAGGTGGTTCTTGAGCTGTGTCAAGCCGAGCAGATATCTGACAGAGAAACCATCGAGATGCACCTGGAACAGATCAAAACCCTCGTATCCACTTGGGCAGCGCAGGTTAGTTGCAGGTCTGAAGTGTGTGTCATAGTTTACATACAATGATTTTTCTTTCTTCTTAAACTACAACTGTTTTGTTTTTGTTTTTTTCCAGCCATGTTTTGCAGAGGTTGTGTTTCCAGAGTCGAACTTTGTGGATCAGATTGAATTGTTGTTGAAAGACCCCGATGAGAAGGAGAAGTTTTTCCAGGTTTGTGATTTATTTATGTTTAAGGGTCCCACAAACATGTGATATGTACAGTTGCTGTTAATATTTCTTCAACAGTGATTCTCTCCCTCCCTCCCTCCAGGATGTCTTCCCGACAGATTTTGGGCCTGAATACGACGGCGCTCTGCAGGTGCTAATGCTGGATTTCCTGTCCAGACTGGAGAAGCTTCTCCCAGTACCAGACATCCAGCAGGTACTGGAACCTATGTGGGACACTAACCCTTGAGTAACCGGTTAGTTTGTCACCCACCATAAAAAAATAATGAGGGGAACCTGGTTGTAGGCAGAGTAAACATTCGCTTTGTGATTGGCAGATCTTAATTGGTGGTTTATGTTAATTCTGTCATGATTGAAGTTGAAAGTAGGACACTGGATTTTTCTTCAGCACATCAATATAGCAGCACAACGTATTCTCTAAGGTTTGTTACTGTAATCCTCTGTCTCTTCTGTAGACGGCGTCCATGCTCTGCGCTGTCCCATCAGCCCTGGAGGAGTGCGTGCACTCAGTTCCTGACCTGCAGCATCTGAAAGCTGTGCTCCTGTATCACACAACACTCGGACATTTCGATTTATCTGGTGAGTCTCATCTGCGCTGCCTGTATTGTCTTTGTCTGTGGGTCAAATATGCAAAAATACATCTGATTTTATCCCTTAAATTACTGGTAAATGAGTTTGTTTACATGCACTTCAGTATCCAGATAATGAGCAGATGAAAACTTTTTCCTGGTTTCTCAAAACCTGAGATTCAGCTGAAATACTTTGATGGAATCCATCATGTTTTGAGTTAGTTTGATAAACCAAACCAAGATTAATAAAAGCTCAGGAGATCAGTCGAGTCGGGTTTATGTCATGACTTTGAAACACAGACCTGAGACGCCGAGCGCTGTGATTCACAATGAAGAAAACAGACTAAATAAATATCCTCAAAGTTGATTAAAAAAAAAAGAAAGGAGGGCAGTGTTGGGTGTCCAAGAAGAAAAAAGAAAAATGTGGAGCAGCAGATGGTGTGGAGATGCAGACAGTGAGGTTCATTTTTATATTAGCAGCCTTAGTCAGAGGTAAATTACTTCTCCAATAATAAAACAAGCTCGCTCCTTTTATAACGGATCTTTTGAGGGAAATCAGCAAAACAGCTGAAGAAAATCTCACACATGTCATTGTATCTGAAAATAGGTTCATGTCTTCACTCTCTGGCACTGATGTGCATGTCAGCGTACGAAATGAAATGTGTAAATTATGTTTATACCTGTTAATGGGATTCTTCTTCTCCACACAGATGAAACTCAAACCATTCCATCTTCTTTTGGGAATTGCATCCTGTCTTCATTGTCCCTCCCTCAGCTGGAGAAGGTTGTGATCGATGCGGATCAAATACAGCTACAGCCTCCATCAGAGCAGATACAGGGGTGTATGACTGTCCAGGTGGAGGGTGAGACTGTGACTCTGTTGGACTACATACAGATTGAACAGCCGTTGGTTGAGCCTGACATTCAGGAGGAAAATGAAGTGAACGAGGAGGAGACAGCCGGAGAAGGGACAGACGAGGACGTTGGTGACGCCTTAAAGCCAGCGGCTTTTCAACCACTAAAACAAAGCAAGAGGCTGCAGCTAAAAAGAAAAGCTTTAAAAGAGAATGACTCGTTGACAGCTAAGAGGCAAAGAAAGAAATACCCCAACAATAAGACGTGTCCCGTGTGCAATAAGACATTCCTTCGGGCTGCGGCCATGAGACGACACCAGGAAATTCATTCTGAAAATCGGGATCTCAGGTACAAGTGCGCCAACTGTGACAAACGATTCAGGGACCATTACGACATGAACCGACACAACATGCGCGTTCATGAAAAGGAAGAGCTGAGCAGCAACTCTAAAGAAGAAGACCCAGGGGATCCCAGCACCTCTGACATGATGTCAGAAAACAAAAACTGCGGTCTGTGTGGGAAGTATTTTGCCCGCCGAGTCGACATGGATCGCCACATGAAGTCCCACTCAGAGGACCGACCGTATAAATGTTCTTTCTGTGAGAAGAAATTCAAGAATCCTTATGTCTTAAAGAGACATCAGAAGGAGATTTGTAAGAGCAGAGAGCTGAAAAAGCCAAAGAGGAAAGAGACACAGCGACCAAATCCACAGCCGCCTTCAGAGGGGTCGACGGAGGGTAAAATCTGCCCCATCTGCAGCAGGATCTTACCTTGCACCGCAGACATCGCAAAGCATTTACGGTCTCACTCGGAAGAGCGTCCTTTCATTTGCGTCACTTGCGAGAAGGGCTTCAAGTACAAGGACACATTGAAGAAGCATCAGATCATTCACGGCCACGAGGGGATCAGAGAGGAGCAGAGCAAGACAGTGGAACAGATTTTGGCTGAAGCAGACACTCGCAATTGTGATGACACTAGTAGCCTTGATAAAAAAGAAAGTAATCTGGAGGTGCCCACGGACACAAACGAGGAGTCCCCGTCTGCACCTGTGCAAAAAGTCAACAAAAAAGCCCTGAAAGTGTGTCCTGTGTGTTCCAGGGCGTTCGACAGTGTCAAAACACTAAACAGGCACATACAGTGTCACACAGACGATCGGCCGTATCATTGCGTCCACTGCAAGAAGCGTTTTAAACACATGCACGGGCTGAAGCGACACCAGATTTACGCCATCTGTCACAAGAAAATCACCCGGTTCTTGTGGAAAAAGGAGCCGAGGGCGGGGCCCAGCCAAAGCGAAATGACCAGCGCCGACACCCAACAGGGGCAACCGCTGAAGATACCAGTGTGGTGTTCAAACTGCGGCAAACACTTTGAATACCTGTCCGCTTTGAAGGAGCACCAGGAGAACGTGTGCAAAGTGGACGTGAGGGAAATCATGAAATGCGACAACTGCGGGAAAGAGTTCAAAAGCATGACCATGCTCAAAGTGCACCAGAGGATCCACAACCCGCTCTACTGCAAAGAGTGCGGGAAGATACTGGCGAACGAGGCCGCCTTCGAGAGGCACAAACTGATGCACAGGCCGATGCAGTGCACGATGTGCGACAAGACTTTCACCTTGCTGAGACGCTTGAGGGAACACTACGAGAAGCAGCACAACTTCACCGGCCCGTATCCCTGCGCGCAATGTGACAAGACCTTCATCCAGCTGTCCTACCTCGCCATCCACCAGAGAATCCACAAAGGAGAGTTCCCTTACATTTGTAACCTGTGTCCAGAGAAGTTCAGGTCGTCCAACTGTCTCACGGTTCACCTGAGGAAACACACAGGGGAGAAGCCCTTCCTGTGCTGGCAGTGTGGGAAGTGTTACCGCTCAGCCTCAGAGCTCACGGTCCACATGGGAACCCACTCTGAGGAGAAACCCTGGGCGTGCACAGACTGCGACATGTCTTATCGCACAAGGCTGCAGCTGACGAACCACATCGAACAAATCCACATGGGCGTCCGGTATCCCTGCAACAGCTGCGGGAAGCAGTTCATGAAAGAGACGTCCCTGAAGAGGCACGAGCTCATCCACACGGGCGAGAGGCCTCACCAGTGCACCGTGTGCGGTAAGACCTTCCTGACCGCCAACGAGCTCCGGCTGCACAACAGGTACCACACCGGCGAGCGGCCGTACAAGTGCGAGGTGTGCGGCAAAGCCTTCATCCAGTCGGGATATTTGAAGTCGCACATGCGCATCCACACGGGAGAGAAGCCGTTTAAATGTGACATATGTGATAAAGGCTTCAGGTTGTCGTATCACATGAAGAAACACAGGCGGACTCACGCCGGGAAGCCAAAGAGCTACATATGTGAGGAGTGTGGGTTAGCGTTCCTCCAGAAAAAATCCCTCTGGGAACACTCGCTCACTCACGCGGTGAAAATCGAACCTTCATTCCCTGATGAAGTGGAGGTCGTACTGCAGTAGAAATCCTTTTGTTTTAATGCAGGTTGTTTTCTTTTATACAATGATGAAGTTTTCTCATGTGGTCACCAAAAATACTCTTCATTTCCTGGTTATTCATTTGTTATTTGATTTTGACCAAGTTATTTCTGTTCCCGTTGTCGCTTCACTGTTGATTCACATGTTCTGAGGCATATTGATGATCTATAAGGCATGTGTATGATTTCTGCTTACAATGCTTTATGAAATAAAATTAAATCATGAGTTCAATTCTTGCACTCTTTGTTTTTAAGTGAAGCTTCTGTAAAGATTGACAGAAGTCATTGACAGTAGTTTTAAGTAACTTCTAGTTTCTCTAGTTTCAGGATCTGATTCTTCATTTTATATTAAATGATTTTGGCTGCGGACTGTTGGTCGGACAAAACAAGCAATTTAAAGATGTCACCCTGGGCTGTGGGAAATTGTGATGGATGTTTTTGATTGTTCTGTAAAATTTTAGATCATTTGATTCAGAGCTAAAACTAAATTATTTATTATTATTGAATAATCTTAGAGACCAAGATAACGTGTAAATATCTGGTTTTGTCCGATTAACAGTATAAAACCAAAGATGTTTAATTCACTGTCATAAAGCAAAGCATATAGCAACTCAAAAGATGAATCAAATGTTCAAATAATTAATCAAATGTTATTAATAGTTACTGATTAATTTTCTTTTGATCCACTAATCCATTTATTGGCTATGAATCAACAGGTTAATCAATAGTGAAAATAATTGTTGGTAATAAAAAGTAGAGTAACTATTTCAAAAATTGTTTGAGGTTGTATTAATGTGTTTTAACGAAACATCAAAGTACCAGTGTGTCCCAGTTGAACACTATATACTAACTGTAAACAGTATACTATATGATTTTTTTTGCAGTTAGCACGTGATTCAATCAAAATGTGACTCCAAATTAAACTTCACAAACAGACTTGACGATGTTTTCCAAAGTTATTTTTTGATTTCTGGGGTTTAAAGGAGAAAAAAAAAAAAAAGCTGTTTCACCATCATCCACAATTTGCTTGAAAAGTTTGTTGTTGTTTTTTGAATATACTTCATTTTGTAATTTTTCCAATGAGAACACACAACACACTGAAAACCTGCTGGGATAGGGGACATACAAACTGATGTCCAGCGATTAGTCAGTAGTGCTGTTTAACCAGAAGATGGCAGTATAGCAGTACTAATGATGATCGGGGGCTCAGCAGCCGTACTTCAGGGAGGGTAAGCTGTCAGTGTTGCCCCCTGCTGCCACAGCTTGTGTTGGAGGATTTAGGACCCTGCAAGCTTCCTAATACATAAATAATACAGTTTTTTCATCCTTCATTAACATCTGTATTTCAATTCTCAGTAAAAAGGAATACACGCAGAGAGACGTGTTTACGTTGTCATTTGCAGGGCAATGCATTGTTTGTTTATGCAGATTTTTACTTTATGCAACATAAATTTCCCAACAATTGTTTATACAGGCTCAGTGACTGCAAATCAATATTTACCCTCTGCTCTTCCTCACAGTCTGTGTCACCTGACTGTTTACCCAGTCTGAGTGACAGTTGAAACCACAGCGGCAGCAGCTACAGCAGCATCCCTGCCCATTTCCAGGGAAACTGCTCCCATCTCTCAGAAAAATCAAAGGCCGACTGAGTCAGAGCTTCTCCAGAGTGTTGGGAGCAGATCACTTTTTAACCCAAAGCATATTGATTTATATGGGGCTGTAATTGCTTCAGTGTGTCCTGGATTATTCCCCCCGTAATTGAGGCCTGGCAGAGGTCTCTTTCCTAGACATAGCCTCCCCGGTGCCAGGTGGTTGGCAGAAAGGAGTACCGCACCCACTCCTCAGCCAGCAGGAGAGAGCCAGCGACCGGTGGCCCTTACCCCCCAAAACCACTCGTCATTGTGGGATAAGTAAACAGCACAAACAGCACACTTCCCTGCATGCTTTGAGGCATCTCGCTTAGGCCCGGGTCCAGCTCTAACTGCAGAATGAGACAGCACATTATGAGCAAAGCTGGACGGGACAGACGGCTCGCTGCAGTATCACTGACACTAAAAAAGATCTGAATCTGTGCATCTTTTTTGGATATCTGACTCTTGTCTGTGGCTTGTCTATCCAGGATCAGTTGTGTTTACTGCAACCACATATTAAGGCTGCAATTACCGTACATGCTATTGTTCAAGTATTTGTTTTGTGTTTTTGTTCCCGATTCAGTGGAACATTCCTGAATTTTGTAGCAGATGGAATGCTTGCACGCTCAAACAAGTCTTGAGATTATTGTGGTGTCACACGTACAAGGGGGGTAGACAGAATAATGGAAAAACTCCATGAAACTGGACCTAAGTCACCATTGAAAACACAGTCACTGGAGTGTTCATGTTATAGTTTGTGCCATATGTTGCCCTGATATTCCAGGACTTATATGACCAATGCACCTGCAGTTGACGTGGCCTCTTTGGGGCTCTGTGATGCCAACCTCAATCTGAGAGGTCACAAGATTGAAAATATAAAACAGAAAATCCATTCTGTTGCACAAAAGTTTTTTGCTACTTTATTTTGAAGTACAGGATGCATTCAGGCCTTTAAAAGTCCTTCAAATTAAACAGTTTGAAAAGAAAACAAATAAAGGAAATCACAGTTCATCTCCACACTTAAGTGATAGCTAGACCCGTTTTTGTCTTAAAATAGTTTGACATTTTGGCTGTGGCGCTTTGTCAGACGTTAGACAATGCGAATATTGATACCACTCTCATGTTTGTAAGGTAAATATGAAGCTACCAACAGCAACTAGCTAACATAGCTCAGGGCAAAGACAGTGACTCACTATCAGAAAATATACAACAGTTAGTTCCCGAACAAGTACTTTGATTGGACGAGAGTCATTCCATGAGTGCTGATATAAAGTATAACAGCACTGGGACATTTAACTTACTTGTATCACTCCGCTTTACAGGTGTTTTATTGACTTAATTAGCGTTACATTAACGGTCGTTATCTACCTTAGGTTCTAACAAACTTTGCAAAGATGAAAATATTTCCAGAGATATATCATTTGAATTAAATGAATGTATGGTCGTCAGAAGAGGATGAAGGGAAGAAGCCTGGAGACTTCAGACCTGAGGTGATGTGCAGCCAATTAGCAAGCTAGTGTGCACTGTGCAGGTCAGGACAATGTTTACGTGTTGCTTAGCAACAGTTAAATGCCAGTCCAGTGGCGGAAGTATTTGTGTTGTCGTAGCCAAATAAATTATAAAATAAACAAACAAATCATAATCTGTTGTTGCTTATTTAAGTAAAAAGGCGCTGGTATAACTTTTGTATAAAAGCAATATCACGCGGTACGAGGCCGCACAGCCGTGCTGATGTTCGGGTCAACATGGCTCCCGCTCCTGTGATATTAATTAAGTGACTAAACAATCCAGCTGGGCGCGAGCTAGCTGGTTAGCATGGTAGCTTCGGTAGAAGAAAAGAAGAGAAAGAGAAATGGAAAATAGGAACCACTGGAAACAGCTCTTGGCGAGTAAAGTAATGAAGTTTGATGCTCAACTGGCAGCATTTCTTCTGGACTGGTAAGTGAACAGCTGTTAATGCTAACATTAGCTTTGTAGCAATCGCAAAATCTTCAGGAGCAGTGGAAGAAGTTTTATGGTCAGTGTTGGCTATTGCCCAAATAGTTGCCTGTTTATGGAGCAACATTAGCATACACTTTTAGTTGTGTTTGTGTCCACCTGGTGAATATAAGTCCAATATTCCCTCTTGTTTTAGCTTTGTTTTGGTCTCCACCAACTCCTGATGGAAATATGTAACTTTTCAGCTGCTTAATGTGAAACTATGTTCACCAGCTAGCAGCTAACTGTGTCTGTCTAGTGTAGAGCAGGTAGTGTGCAGTGGGGGTTTTTTTTGCAAGCATTGTTTAGATTTAAATGAATGTTCAATGTTCAGCTACACAGACCAAGTCACAATCAAATTAGCCGAATAGACTGGTAACAACAAAACATACAGTAAATCACAACCAGGATGTGTGTCTATTGTTTTCATGTATCTGTCGTTCAACCTCAAGGTTTAGTTTCCTGTAACTGATGTGATACCCTGCCACATCCAACATGTTCCTCAGCGATCACAAACAGTTAAACTGTACCAGAGATATTTTTGAAAAAGTAGGTTTTGATCATCAACAGGCACCACGGAATTTCCTGACCTTTTTGCCAAAATACTGTGACCCCTGCGTGTTACTACGGAAACATAGCGTATCAAAACAAGCGCCCCATTTCTTGCGTTTGCTCCATGACGAACCTTTATTTCTTCCATATGAACAGCGTATGGCACAGCACAGGGCTTTGATAACAATATCTGCTCTGAATGCATGGACAACAGTGCCACACACATTACCCTGCATAACCACCAAGCTTGGGAAAGTAATACACACATTTAAAAAAAAAAAAAAAAAAAAATCACAAATTACCCCTACAATCACTTGCAATAGATACCCCACTTTCATTGTTTTTGCAAAGCTTTTTTGTTTTAGTCAGTGGATAGAGGAGGGAATATAACACAGAGAACCCACTGAGCTGGAAAACCCTCAGACTAATCAAGAGAATAGAGGAGGATTGCTCTCCTAATCAAGTGTGTGTATGTGTGTGCGCTTGCATGTGTGTGTTTCCTCAAGTGAACCTGTGTGTGTGCCCAGACATATCCCCAGCCTCACACATTCCCTCCCATCTTGGGTACCAGCCCTGCAATCCCCACACACAGCCCTCCATCCTCCCTCGCCGCTGTGGTGTTCACGCGGGCTTTTTTTTTTTTTTTTTTTCTTGCAAAAACCAAAAGCTTTATCTCGTTTTTCTTCCACTCTAATTATTCCTCCGTCCTCTCACTTTCATCCACTTGCATTCATTTGCATTCTGCACCGCTGTCTGTATCTGTGTATCCGTCTGACTTGGACATTTGTTTGGCAGGAGAGACCAGACGGGATGCTGTTAACGCTGCAAAAAGTGTCCATCTCTGCAAGTCTTTAATTTGTCTTGCTTTTTGTTAACATGTGAAGGTTGTTCCAGATGGGGTGATACAACTCTGCTTGTTGCCAGATTTGTTGCAATAATAGTCTTTTGTAAGTATAACTGTGTTTAAATAAGGCAGATCACGAATCCAGTTATAAAATAACACTAAACTCAAGAAAGAAAACCTTTAAAAAGTGGGAATGCATTGCAAATAAGTGAAACTATCCATATGATATGTATTTTAAACACTTCCTGATAAAGAATATGTGTGACTCTGAGATTCTCTCCTGATCAGAATGACTTGCAGAGATGGACATTTTTTGCAGCGAACACTTTCTCCTTCCTACACCAGAAGGGAGTGAAAACAAGCCTTTCCCTGGTCAATGAGTTCACTGGGGCGGACGTCTCCTTAGACAAGGCTGTGTGTGTGTGTGTGGGGGGGGGGGTTGTTGGGGGAGGGGAGATGGGTGATGGTGGTGGGGGGCTCAAAAGAAGAGAAGACCGAAGAGAAAAGCGAGTCAGAGCGAGGGAGGGAGAGAGGGAGAGAAACCTGGCACCAAGACAGTTCAGAGCATTGGGCATTAGAGACCGCGAACAAGGGAAGGTCAGCCCCCCCCCCCCCACCCCGCCACGCCTCACCCCACCCCCCGCCACCTACGCTCGCACCCCCCACCACCACCCCCCCGCATCTGCCCCTTTCTTCTTCCTACTACTGCATCAGCAGATGTACTGCACAAGCCCTTCATCAATATGAACACTGCCAGACCACAGCTACAGTGATAACAGGAAAATCTGTGATGAAGCATTTACACGCTACATTGTGGGAGCTTTTATGTCAAGAGGCAGTGAAAGATGAGATAATTTCACATCTAAGATCAGCTACTGACAGAGAGGCTTATAGGCGTCAGTGACCAGCCACGTCCCTGATCTGACGCTAAC